TGCTTCCCTCGGTGCACGCCATTTCGTTTGACGATGTGCCAATTAGGGAGATAAGGGCTAACATCGGCCGGTGCTGATGCGGGCCTGAGGCATCCCTAGTCCAAGTTGATGAGTAGAATCAATCTTTTTTATCACCAGGCAGGCGGGCTAATGGAAAACAGTTACCCAGCAAGGAACAAGATAAAAACAACCAGCTGCTTGCTTATCTGATACATCACAAGTTCAACATACAGTAGTTTACAACGTAGAGCAATTGACAATGACAATTTAAGGTATAATGGAATATAATGTTATGAGGCTTGTTAGGCTTCTTTTAACATGCTTTTTGACAATGTTTTTGGAATTTTCCCCATTTAAAACAATCCTTCAGCTGTCAAGAGAAGTCTGTTTGGAAAAACTCCAATGATTCTAGGAGTGCTGTATCTTCTGATATTGGCTGGGATCTACATGCGCTGTGAGGCTCTGCTTTATATTCTATAACAACATATTTGACTGTACTTTGTTCCCTGGCAGTCTGGCGATTTTCTGAGCTTGTTAACCTGCTTGGTGTTTGCGTGTCCCAGCAAAGTGTGCAAAGTGCACAGGTGGGAGGATAGCTCATTTTGGTAGAAAGGGAGAATAGCTGTCTCTGAACCATGTCATTATTTATTTCAACAAAAAATACATTAAAAAAGTTAGAGGATAGCACATTTCTCAACCAATACCAATGTCAAGAACAACAATTTGGCCAATGCAGCTATTTATTAATTAATATTATGTATTCCCTTTTGTTCCAGGGGAACACATTGATGTGTATTATATCTAAATATGTGGTCTCTCAGAAATTCATCACAGTAACTTTGAATGAGCACTATGTCAACTGTTACAGCCGCTGTTACCTTGTGCCCTTAACTCTGGTTGTGTGTGTGTATGTAAATGAGCTGTGCGGTTCCTATGCTGTCAGTGGCCGTACCGACCTCGTAACATCCGCAGTGATTGGACGGACGTCACCCAATCCCCGCCCGCTTCTGCCACGTCATCCGGGGGAGGAGCATAAAGGCCGGACACGGAAGGCTCTGTATTTTGGAACAGACGCCTCAAGCCTCGCATTGTGACATTGCCATATTCTGTGATTCCTTAGACTGCCTAGCAGTGTGTATTCTGTGATTCCTTAGACTGCCTAGCAGTGTGTGTTCAGTAGGGTTCTGTGCGAGCACACTGATTAGCAGTGTGTCGTAGTATTCTGTGTTTAGTGTAGGGTTTGTGTGTGTGTATTGCGTAGATCCAGGTTGCTTAGCTCCTGTAGAACCGCATTTAGATTATTGACATTGTGAAACAGCTTAGACCCAGGTTAGCTTAGCGCCTGGAGATCAGCATTTGTGAAACTATTGCTTAGACCCTGGTGATTAGCACCGGTTGATCAGCAACAGCTGTGTTTCCACACAGCTTCCTTTTGTTTAGTGTTTTGTTCCACTTTAGAAGTGAGGTACGTTCTTTCTTTTGTAGCATACTGTGCAACTCTCTTTTGGAGTCCTTTGTTGTTAAAAGGTAACAGTTTGGTCCGTTGTTGGTCCAGGCTGTTCGTGTGGATATTATTGTGTTCAAAGTTTTGGTTACAAATAAACCACCGGTAACATATACCAATTCCAAACTGGTCGTGTCGTGTCCCTTTGTACCCCTAGCCAAGAGGGAACGTAACACAACTTTACAAAAGCTTATTCAACCTGTTATGCAATCTCATTACTTCAAAGTTAGGGTACATCAGTGTTGTAGTAGTCCTTCAAAATGACAAACGGCCTTCAGATTTGTCCTACTTTAATAAATACAAATATGCAGCTATGGAGATGTTAAGAGTACAAAGTCACACGGCAAAGCAAAACAGCCAGAGACATTGGTGCACGTCATTTCATTTGTCGATCTGCTAATTAGAGAACAAAGGGCATAGGGAACAACATCGGCCGATGCTGATGCATCCCTAATCAAAGCTGACTTGTTTTCATCACCAGACAGGCTAATGGAAAAGGGGAATGGATTTGACTTGACACATATTGTTTCAAATGTGTATGGTTTTACAATGATAATCAGCTTTTTCTTGTGTTTCTGCTCCCTCCAGATATTTTTATTAAGTTGGAAAAACTAAACTTATAGACAGAAAGGGACCAGCTCAAAGTCATACTGAACGAAACACAAACCAGAAACATGGAGCTCAAAATAAGTCTGAACGAAACCCTCATTCAGTTGATAGACTTTCCAATTTTGATCTAATATGATTTGATACATTTTCCATGGCTACTGTAATTTACACTATAATGTATAGCTTGTGATAACCCTATCATACACTTTAATGTAATGTGTTACAATGTGTTAATGTAGTTTATGTGATGTAATGCTTTGCATTTTGTGTGTCCTACTAAAGCAGGGGTGTCAAACTCAAGGCCCGGGGGGCCAAATCCGGCCCGAGACTTCATTTCATGTGGCCCCACAAGAGCTTGCAAAGAATATAATATGTTTATTATACGGTTACATGCTACTTTACAGAAGCACGTTGCCCATAAACGACATGTCCCACAATGCATCAGAAATTTGACTTTTTCTCTCCAAATATGCATTTTTCCTCATAAATAGATTTTTTTTTCAAAATGTGGCTTTTCTTTTAAAATCATATTGTGACATTCTTACTGAAGACACCCCTGTACTAAAGAGTTCTTAAACGCAAGTTTAAGAGCAAACAACTATGCCTGGGTGATAAATCAATATCATTCTAAACCATTATTAAATCGACCTTCTGGTATCATTTGGGATTAAAGCTGTTTTAGATCTGACAGGCTGCAGAACAGTGGCAGTTTCCTTTTCTTCTGTTTTTCTTTCTAATGTTCAGTGAAACAACGCCTCCTAATGTTAAGGCATCATTTCAAATGTTTGATCATTCCTAATTGTAAATAATCTTTAATGGACCCGCACTCTTTAACTACTACTAATCACATTCAAAATGAATGAATATTCGCAAAAAAACCATTCAGTTTATCAGTTTGAACATTACATATCTTGTCTTTTTTAGTGAATTCAATTGAATATCGGTCAAAGAGAATTTGAAAATCATTGTATTCCTTTTTTCATTTACAATTTTCACAACATCCCAATTTCATTGGAATTGGGGTTTGTATTTCAGAAATACTTTAAAGCAGGACTATTACTACTGTTAGGCGGTTTGTATGCGGTTGTTGTTAAACATTTGAAACATGTCAGTGGAAGATAATTACACAACTGTGAGTTACAGGATGAAATAAACACGATGACGCACATGAAAGGCCTAACAGCAAACGATACATGTGCAACTCTTCGGACACTGAATGACACAACATGTCACTACAATATGGTTTGGCGCTCAGGGAAACTCGTTTGAAGGAAGGTAGAGAACATTGTCAGAAGAGAGGAATGTATCTAAAGGGTATTAACAGCATAGAGCAACACATGTGTAAGAGCCAAAATGTACAAAGATGAAATATTTCTAATATGAAGTTGGTGCATGTTGAAAACAAGGGAACAAGGAGGTAAGTGCTGCTTCCTTGCTACACCAATGGCAATGGGATTAAAAGGCTAAACCAACATTACAATCCATTAGATTAGTCTTATTTCTGGGAGTCAGAAAAAACGTACAAACAAGGCAGAGGTGACGTTATAAAAGTGTTCAAATTGGCAAGAAGGAAAAAAATAGCTTTTGGAAAACTTCCTGTCAAACAAGATGTTGCATAGTAACCACACATCAAGGGTCCTGAGACCTTGGAACAACATTTACAAAAGGGGGTTAAATAAAGGAGCAACTTATATATATATATTTATTTTTTTATTTTGATATACTTTATTAATCCCTGTGGGGAAATAGTTACTCTGCATTTGACCCATCCTGTGTTAGGAGCAGTGTGCTGCCATTTTGAACGGCGCCCGGGGAGAATAATAACATATAACATTTGTTTTCAGAAATGTGCATTGAGGTGTTATTCCATTATCAGTCAGGTTGATGTGTTTATGGAACATTGGGTTGTCTGTATTATGTTTTGGGTTGGGTTCCATTGACAATGTTTGTAGATGTGATTGCATGATCTAGTTATCTGAGGGACAAATTGCTTGAAATAAAAAATGTAGTTGTATGCTTTTTAAATACGTGTTTATAAATATAATATATTATTATGAAAAATAAATACACAAGACAATAGGTACCTACCTTTTGTGCTTTGAAGAAATGTCAGCTCCTGTGTTTATGTTGCTGTATTGTAAGAACTGTTGTGCATTCTGAAATGGGTTTGGTTTATTTGGGTTTTTCCTTTTAAAATGTGCTTTCTATGATATTACATTCTCAGTTTGGTAAATGTGGTTTTTGGATTTTTTTAGATTTGCCAGTTTTTTCTGTTGTTAATTTTTAGGATATACTGTGGTTTCTTTTTTCTCTTTTCTGTTGTGTTTTCCGAAATGATGCTTTGTGCTCTGTATTTTGTTGTAAACTACAATAAATACACTTTCTTGTGAATTAAATAAAGAAGTGAAATATAAGATGAATGAGAAATGAATTATTGTATATTTGCTGCTTTTTCTATGATTATGCAAGTGTAAATGATGTGAGTGGGTGTGAGAACCCCAAGTGGGATTCTTTAGGGCTGCTGACTCCTAACTGAATAATTGGTTGTTCTTGTTCGACTATAAAAGAGCTTGATAGCCACTGCAGGGCCGAACATGACAACTGGCCTCTCATAGGGATTCTCACAACAGTGCCATGTGTAGTTTGATTCAAAAGCTAATCACAACACAGCACTTTGTTTTGACCCACAACGAGAAGCAACACAGTGAGAGTGTAAAACATTTGTTCAGCGTCTGCAGAAACGTTTCAAAAGCGTTCAGAAAGCTCAGCGCTTCTACTTCCTGTGCAGCAGTGGCCTTTCACACTTCTGCTGCCGTTTCTCAGAACAAGAGTGAAAACACTGTCGGAAGTCGTGACTTTGTATCAGTTTTAAAAGCAACAAACTCACCACGGGGCCTGGCTCTCCGCGGTCACCTCGGGCTCCTCTGGTTCCAGGGCCTCCCTTTAGAAGCACAAGAAGAACCATTAGAGGAGCACAATCACCACGTGCAGATGAACAGAGTCTCAATCTGTGTGTACAGAAACCCACAAAGCTGACAGCCGACAACCTGAGACACAAGACACATATTGAACAGCCAAACTGAAAAGTAAAGGTCAAATCAGTATTCAGATCCTTAAATTAGGTAGAAGTACTTCTACCACAATGTAAAAATACTTTTTACAAGTAAGAGTCCTGCATTCCAAATGTTACTAAAGTAAAATTGACAAAGTAGAATGAGCAAAATGCTGTGAAAGTGTTAAAAGTAAAAGTTCCCAATGTAGCCAAATCTGAAAACAATGAAAAAAAACACAAAAAACCGAAATTATTCAAAAGTGGAAAATAACTTGTTTCATGTTCATGAAGGAGTTATTATTTTTCAATCTCAAAGTAGAGTGATCAACTAAGCAGTTCTTGAACAGACCACAAGTAGTTTAATTGTAATCAAAATATCATATTTTGTAATGCTAAAATTCATATTTGTAAAGTTTTAAGTAGCATCAAAATAAAATACTAGTACTGTAGCTACAGTACAAGTTCTTTAATGGTACTACTATTTACTATCACTGCTTACTACTAACGTATATGTACTTAGTTACATTCCACCATTGACCCGATCATGCAGACCTGAGAGATGTCAACATTTTGGGTTTTATCTAATTTCACTTTAGTAGCCTTCACTCATGTGCCTGACCATGAAACATTGAAACCATCCAATAGCCATATGGCATATTATCATGAATGATCATTTTCAAACTATTCACAATATAACTGAAAACACATTTACATGATCATGGTTTGATTTCATTTTTTAAAAGGTACTTTTGGGCCAGAGAGCCGTTATTGGAGAACGTAGAGTGAACGAGGGAGACAGAGGGGAGGACGTTGCCCTACTAGGCAGCAGTCACTGCATGAGGACCACCAGCTCTAACCACCGAGCTATCCGGCGGCCCATGGTTTGATTTCTTTGAACACGATAAAGAATTCTTTATTAAGTTCTTAGAAAACTGTTAGTGAACCCTTCTGATTGCATTCCTGTAGCCCTATAATACTTCAATGAGATGTTTAGCCTTTAGGTGCAATCCGGACATTACACTAGTCCTTATTGTGATTTGGATAACGTTCCAATTCATTGTGCAGCCCTTGCAGAATCACTGTTAGATGTTCGTGTGACTCACTGGGGGTCCAGTAGGGCCGGGGGGGCCTTTGCTGTCCTGGGTGCAGGTGCAGGCTTTGGGCATGGCGGGGCAGTCCACCTCCTTTCTCTGGATGATGACAGCATGGTGAGGGAACACAAAGAAGAAAGAGAAATGGCAATGAAAAGGATTGAATAAAGCCAGTGATGTCACTATAGTGTTTATTTCAAGGCTCCAGAAATGGAAATATCTGGGATGTTTTTTTCCGTTTAATTTCCACCGATACAATGTTCCCAGGGAGGAAATGATAAGATATGATGTATATATTATTTAAAATGTGTGTGACTTGTCTACACAGTAAACTATTCTTAATAACTCAATGTAAGATCATTTTCATTACACTTTTACAGTACTCCTTAACTGCATTGCTAGGGTTACAAAAACCCTTGAAAAGAGGATAAACATCAAGTCAAAAATGCTGTGGAAAGAGCGTTTTGTATAAAAATAAAACTTTGAATCTGAACTTATTTCTGTTTCATATAATGCAGTGCGTTTTCCTCAGCTGTGAACATGTATTCTGTGTGCAGACCCACGAGCGTAATGAGGTTTAGAGGAAATTGAACTTTGACCTCACCAGACCAGGAAGTTCGCAGCACTTGTCTCTGCCGGCCCAGGAGGTGCTGCAGACGATGTCGAAGAGCTGCAGCTGGAACTGCACACAAACAAAACACACAACGAACTTCAAAAACACAAACCACCAAGACAATTACTTGTTATAATAATATACATTTTATTCTCAGAACACTTTTATTGTCTCCTAATTCCTTGTGTCTTTTAAACTGATAACGTATAATATTATGTTGCTGCATGTTTCCCAAAAGGTCTTTCCTTCTGATCTGGGGGGAATGCATTGTTTCATTTGTAATGTGTTATTATCTATTATGAACTGGGATATATTTGTTCTACTGATTATAAAGCCCTCATTTGTTCTATGTTCATATAAAAAGTCAAATAGATTGTTCAGTCATCTAATTAAAATAATAAAGGCACAGAGTTCAGCGTAAAAAACCTGCCGTGCCTTGAAAGTAATAGATTACTGCCCCCTGCACCTAGAATCATCCCAAACCGACTCAAAGTGCAGTAAGGTTTGAATAAAGTCAAACATAATGCTGCATGCATTCTATAACTTCCTCTGTGTAACCCACAGCAGAGAGACTACACTACATGACATGTTACTTGTTAGACGCTTTTATCCAAAGCGACTTACAGACTAGACGCCAAATTCTAAATGTGATGGGAATCAAAAGGGGGATTTTAAACAAAGCGCGATCATCTGAAGTGTTATGGTTATGTCTCATGGCAGGATTAACATCTGACATGATCTGTGCAAATGTCCCGGGGTAATGTACTGCTGTGCTGGAACCCTTTGAATCCTAATCCTGCTCTAATGCCTCACAAACAGATGACCTTACTTTGACTGCTTTCTCTGACCTGTTTGGCTAATAAGGTGAGGTGAATTGTCAGGTACACAATTAGACTATTAGTCACCACCACCCTGACTCGTGGGGTTTAAACACAGTGGGAGATTAGAGTATATTTAGCCGTGGAACACCACATTAGTCACAAGAAGTCGATAGACAAACTAAATAAGTTACAAAATGACACATTTCTGTTTTTCTTTCTTTTGACTCCCAATCAGACTAAGTACTCAGATCTTGTACTTGAGTAAAAGTAGAAGTACACTAGGCTCTTCATCTGATTTAGAATTGTGTCCATGACTCAGAGTTTACATTTTTCCTTTTCAACTAATTATCCATCGCTGTTCAAACAGTCTCAGCAACCTCTCAGAGCCATCACTTCATTCTACCGTCTTACATGAACACGGCAATTATTGGGCCACCTCCTGCCACCCAACGGCATGGCAGAGTGTATCATCACTAAGCCAGCAAATACATTGCAGGCACACACGCATTTGCAGCAACTAAATAATATTTGTATGGACCGATTAAGTGAAATTGGACAATCTCTCACAGCACACTGGTGTGCCGAGGCACAGCAGTTGAAATCAACTCCTTGGATTAAAGGACTCATCTTTCATTATGTAAATACTCAAAATCCAAAGTAGAAAGAAGAACACATTCTGAGGAGGCCAACACACAGCGAGGAGCTACACTGTGCCTTCCTCTCTGGTTCCATCCTAAAGAACCTTGCTGTTCTGTGTAGCTGCATTACTAATGTACCTACACAGTGTACAAACAATTCAAAGAAAGGATTAGCAGCTGGATATAAAGGTGGCTTGCCTCACATTAACGGTTCAGTTTTGTCTTTAAAGAATGCACATGGTTTGGGGACTGAGACCGGTGGAGAAGAAATGACACCGGTGGAGATGATGCGACACACGTGGAATTCTCCAGCTTCAGAGCACAATCAATGTCAAGGGTTTTCTCTTCAAAGGGAGATCAAAGCAATCAGACACAGAGTCTGCCTCTGCTCTTGCTCGAGGAGAGGGGCTGGACATTGATTTGTTTGCATTCATGAAGCTGCTCAAGGAAACGGCTTTGATGGAAAAAGAGATGAAACCACTCCCAACAGCACAAGATCAATGCAGTGAGCTACAGTTCCTGCAGGTTTCTAATGTCGTACAGAAGACGACCACTGGCAAGTTTTCTGTGAATATCAGTGTTGTCGTGACGATCAGTAGGAGTGTGTTTGATCAGTTATCAGTTCAGGGACCTTTTTGGTGAGCTTACTCTGCTGATGAATCATTAACAAGCCGACCTATTAAGAGGCTTTTGATAGCCTTCCTTTCGTACAGACAGTCATTGGTTTCTGTTCTTTTCACTTTCTAATACAAATCTACTTGAAACTTTGATTTGTAAGCATCATATGCAACTTGTAGCTGCTTTTTCCATATGTATTGTTCATTAACCCTGAAATAATGATTGAGTTCTGAACGCTCTTGGAAAGAGGACATTTGTGAAGTCAAAATGTTAAGTCAAATATGTCTCATAACATGATGACTGTTACCTGAGCAGGACTATGAGAAAAAGGCTTTCAAGGTTGCAGAGATTTAATACAAATATTAGCCGAGGTCCTTTTAAGAGGGGGCCAAATGCTTCTTATTATGGGGGCACAGAACCCCTCGCCCCCATTGGATTAGCTGTCTATCGCTAAGAATATAATAAAGCTTGATAGCTCATCAGGCTGTCCCTGATTTCCCTCATTTATTTTCAAGCTAGTAGCATAAAGGAAGCGGATTGAGGGAATGTCGTAAGTAAGTCAGACAAAAAACCAACCAAACCCTGGGGGGGGGGGGGGGGTTGGTGCTGATCAGAATGAGAAGTGATGGTGGCTGCTGAAGTTGTCATCATGCGTTTACAAGTTTCTAAATTGTATTTATATTTATGAACCATCCGAAATCTCACAATGACCATAACGTGCTTTTACCATTTATCCTCGTTTACCTTGAAATGGGCCTTTGCAAAAATCCAACTGCCTTTGATACGGTGGATCAAAGTTCAGGAATTCAAGTATTTTTGATATATCCTAATTCCGAGGAGGTCCAATGGAGAGAGTAAACTAATTGAAGATGCTCATGTGAATCGGGTCGGATAGTTTTGAAAAGAACACTAAGTAACTTGACTATCATTTGGGTTAGGTGTGTGTGTCGTGCTCACCGGTGCAGAGTTGTCTTTGTTCCCTCGGGAGCGAACCATCCTGCCCAGAACCTCCAGCCCGTCGATGGTGATGTTCCCCGCCGCGTTGATGTTCTTCTCAGCCACCATGCTGCAGTCGATCACCACTTTGGCGCTCGTCTTGCCGACGGCAATGTGAAGCTGCGTGAGAGAGGACACGTTCACTCAAACACTACTGTAGGCTTTCTTTAGTGCTGAATGTTATAGGGATTTATCAAACTTAGTATCCTTTAACCACACTCGTGTAAACTCTGAGTGTTGTCACCCCGCAGTGAACCTCCCCCGCGGCCTTGCGCTACCTCAGTGAATCTTTCTAAATGCAATTCAGTTTTTTCATCTGGGACGGAGGATTCGGTAACCTTCCGTTTGTGAATGTGATCACACGATGTGAAGAGAAGTGTGCTATGGTCTCCAGATGACTCCCACTGTGATACTATGTGTGTATGAAGATGCATGTACAGTACTGTGTGTAATCGTGGTCCGACAGCTTCCTTCACAAACTGTTCGATTCTGTTCAACTTTCTTTAGATGATAGAGTAATAAAACTCCACTTTGTTGTAAAATCATTGTTTATTCATGTCTCACAAGGACATTCATGTTGAATTTCAACTTAACACATTCATACAACAATTCATTAAAAAAGGACCTGAATTGATGGACAAAGGGTTTGAAAGTCCATGTTTCAAACGTGTAAATAAATTCATGTAAATATTGTGTTAACTTTTGTTTAGGTCATTTTGACTGCTACTAATCATGTGACATTAGCTCTCGCAGTTTTGTTGTGGTCAACCATTTTTTAATATTGTACTTTTCATAAATGCCCCTGAGGAGAATCAGTGTTTTACTCTCATATATATTTGAGTTATTCTATGCCGCAGTAGAACAGCGCCCTCTTGCTGCTGCTGCTGCTGTGAAATAATCAAGCAGATTTCCCTCCGAATCTAACCCGGGGACTCAGAAGCTACATCTCAGAGCAGAGGATAACAGTGTTCTTTAGTATTCAACATGTCTCAGACCAAGGAACTCTTAAAGGAACAGGATTAGGGACCCTGCACTGTATGCATCAAGTTGCCTCTGAGTGTGAGGGGCTCCTCAACTCATCTTAAGATACTTTTTTAGATAATAACTCATTAGTTTGAGATGCTAAGTCAGCATGATAGAAACTAAGTTTAGTTTGAAAAATATGTCAATATGTAGCCAGTTTTTCGTTATTTTGAGAACCTAAATCAAAATGTTCAAACAATTAAGTCAATATTTGAGGCCATTATATTATAGAACGTTTTTTTGTTAGGTGACTTCCAGAGTGTGTGTGAATACAGACTGATGCACTTTTACCCTCCGACCTGCATCAGTACTGTGATATAAATCCTGTTTAGAGGGAAGTGTGAAGCAACACTGTCCTTTCAGTCTGAACAGCTGGCATGAAGACATGTCTACACTACATTACACCCATTTCAAAATGTCAGCTTTTTAAGATTCAAAAGCCAGAAAGTGTGAAAAGAGTTAAAAGGCTGAGAAAGGCTGACCTTTTTTTGACCCCCACGGGACTATTCAAACCTACAGTGAGTTAAGAGATACAGTCGCTACAGTTCAGAGACTCTTATCAAATAGGTGATGTTCGCTCAGCCATCATCACGGAAGTGACACACACACACACACACACACACACACACACACACACACACACACACACACACACACACACACACACACACACACACACACACACACACACACACACACACACACACACACACACACACACACACACACACACACACACACACACACACACACACACACACACACACACACACACACACACACACACACACACACACACACACACACACACACACACACACACACACACACACACACACACACACACACACACACACACACACACACACACACACACACACACACACACACACACACACACACCTAGCAGAGGAGAAGAAGCTGGTAAGCTGTGCAGCCAGCAGACAGACGTGACTGCAGATCAGTCAGTGAGTCTCTCAGCACTGACACACTGACACCAACACAACACCACGAGAGCAGGTTCAGGATCAGGGCACCGCTCAACTACAGTCAGCCTGTCAGGACTACAAACACTGGCTCACTGCTCAGCAGGGTACAGGATGCAAGAGCAACAATGCCAGGAGAGGAGGAGGAGGAGGAGGAGGAGGAGGAGGAGGAGGAGGAGAGGTAGACACGACTGAGCAAATAATGATCCAGTACTCTGACTAACACGTCAATATAAAAGTCAACCAGCTCACATTATTATGAGCCGCTCAGTAAAACAAGTCTGTAACTCCAGTCCACTTTTAAATACTTTAGCAAAAATATCTAGTCAATATTTGAATATATTACACAGCATTTCAGAAGTTGTTAATACTCCCTAAAACGCTGATAATGAGAACAGGCCGTTGTAAGGAGGCTCAAGGGACTATGTACAATACGCAGAAAGAAGTCCAGTTTGATTTAACGTCTGCAATGGACAACAAACATTCGTTCTCTCCATCAAAAAACATAATGGAATACTTTTTTATATTAATTGTTATATTTGTGAAAGGCACCAAACTTTGGATTCATTCGAACTGTCAGCAGTAAAGAACAGAAACATATCACAAGAGAATGAAAGAGGTTAAAGGACAGAGTGCTGAACATCAGAGGAATCAGACAGACAGGAAGTAAACACTACAGGGAACAGTAGAATAGGGCTGTAACAAACGACTCATTTGACAATCGATTCGTCTACCCATTAATGAAACGATGAATCGATTATTCGGATTATGCCTTGCACAATTTCTCAAACACTCTTATTTAGCCATCCACTTTTAGATTTAGCTTGAGGTTGTTTTAGGCATGTGGAAACTAACAATGAAGACAATGAAGATGAATACTTTATTCAAAAATACATATATTATTAAACTGTCTGCTGAAAGATAAATAAAAAAATCTGTCCGTCAACATTTTAAACCAAAGATAGCAGATCAGATCAGATAAAAGATAACCTTTTTCATAGTCAAGTAGGGATGGGAAGGGATGGGTATCGTTAAGGTTTTAACGGTACTACTACTTTTATCGATTCCGCTTATCGATCCGGTCCTTTAACAGTACTCTTATCGGGTATTTTGAAAACTATTTTAACTAAACAAATTGTAAATAATGTGAACTTACAGAACTGTAAAAAACAAATAAAAAACAAGTATTTAAGTAAAATACAGTGGTACAGAGCAACACAGGTGGGGCATACAGGTATGCTGCAAAAGGCCTAACGGTTCTTCTGGAGGAAGATTGAGGTTGTGGTGGAACATTACGGGACTTAATGTGTTGTTGTTCAGACAAATTGCTCGTGTTACCACCCTTACTGTACATGCTAAACTCTTATTGCACTTTAGGCAACGAGCATTGTCCACATCGAGACGGGTAAAGTTTAACCACACCTTGGAGCGCTTAGTTCTCTCTGCCATCTCCGCCATGTGTGTGTGTGTGTATGTGTATGTGTGTGTGTGTTGCTGCATGTAGCAGCCGCATGTGTGTAAACTGCCCCGCCCCCTCACACACAGACAGGGGAGAAAGATCTGTAGTCTGGATTGGAAAGATCGAAAATACATCATAGACGCATTTTGTAGTCTTTTTGCATATTAGAAACGGAGTTGGCACTAAGACTGCGACATAATGTTTATGTAGCAATAATACATATGACATATATGTTTTAAATGTCTCCAGTACAGATAAAAAGACCAATAACGTTGGAGCTTAACGGCTCGTAAAACACACGTTATGACGTCACCAACGAATCGACGACTGAATTAGTTGGCAACTAATTTGGTCATCGATTAAGTCGATTAGTTGTTGCACCCCTACAGTAGAAGAAGACAGACAGGAAGTAAACACCAAAAGGGAACAGTAGAACAGCATCATTCATGTCAACAAATATCCTTGTAAACATTTTCAGGCTGAACTATACATTGATCTTGAGACTGACAGATGATCCCTGAGTCGGTGTGGAACATCAGGAAGAAGCCTGACAACAACAGAAGTTGTTCTGACCTTATGGAAGCTGCCATAGAAGAGTTTCTTTATTTCTGGCCCTTCGAAGGTGACCGTCTGGAACTCTCCTTTGTAGTCGTTGTTGAAGAATGTCAGAGTCTTTCCTCCATCTGCAGGAAGACACACAAAGTACATGTCAAAAAGAATTCCTTAGATTGAATAGTGAATGCTTCTGTCCAATGCAGGTTTTCCATTATAAAAGAAATTAGGCGAAGTCTGACTTGATATGTAGATATAGACATCAATATGGAAGTGAGCAGAGGACCTACGTTGCCCCTTTATAACAACACCAAACATTGTGCTTTCTACATTTAGCACACCATTGTGATGGATTTCTAATTAAATAAGTTATTATATAGGACAGAAATAAAAGTGTTTATGTTGTTTTCCAATAAGAAAAAGTTACCAACTGTTCTTCCCTGCATCATGTCTGCACAGCATAACCCCATTGAAGCTGTTAACACCTACAGATACTTAGGCATCACCATAGATGAAAATCTCTGCTTCAAACCACACATTGACAATCTTTTAAGGAAATTGAAATTAAAGCTGGGATTATTTTTTAGAAATAAGGCCTGCTTCTCCACAAGTGCGAGGAAACGGCTTGTAGCTGCCACATTTTTGCCGCTCTTGGACTACGGGGATGTTGTGTACATGAACGCCTCAGCTCACTCCCTTCATCTGCTGGACGCTGTTTACCATGGGGCTCTGAGGTTCATAACCAACTGTAAACCCCTCACACACCACTGCACGCTGTACGCTTTAGTCAACTGGACATCATTATCAATGCGCAGGTCACTGCATTGGTACAAACTCATCTATACCGCTATGCTTGGACTGCTACCCCTCTACATATCCACTTACATATCACACAAACAGTACAGCTATAGACTAAGATCTCAACATTACATCACTCTGTCCGTCCCCTCAGTACGCACGGTGCTTGGGAAAAAAGCCATATCATACTCTGCCCCCTCGACCTGGAACACACTTCAGCAGGAACTTAAGCTGACCACTTTGATACCCATCACGGATTTTAAACTCATTTTTAAAAAGCTGGAGAAATCATCTGTGGGTGTTTGCACCTGCTATATCTGACTGCTGTATATGGATTTTAATGACTACTTTTTTACGATGTTGTATTTTAGTGTTGCCTCTGTGTTTAGTGTCCTGTCTGTCTGTAACTTTGTGTGGTAGTGTTACCACTGACAGGTCTCTCTTGAAAATGAGACCTTGTGTCTCAATGAGATCTACACCTGTATAAATAAAGGCTAAATAAAAAAAATAAAAATGTTGGATGGTTTTGAAAGCTGATGCTCCCATAGCAAAGACCCCCCTGTCAGCTTGATCCTCTTCCCACCACCCTAGTCAAGGCTTGCCTACCAGCCATATCACCCACGATCACTGACATAATTAACTCCTCCCTCACCTCTGTAATTGTACCCACCTCCCTCAAACTGGCTGCAATTACTCCCATCCTCAAAAAACCTGGTACTGACCCAGCCGATCTAAACCACTAGAGGCCCATCTCCAACCTACCCTTCATTTCCAAGACCCTTGAGAGAGTGGTTGCCACACAGCTTCAGTCCCATCTTGACACAAACAACCTCCATGAACCCTTCCAGTCTTCCAAAAAATCACCAACGACCTCGTCCATGCAGCTGACTCCGGACTTCTCACCATCCTCATCCTCCTTGACCTCAGTGCTGCATTCAATACCATCTATCACCCACTACTCCTGGACCGCCTGGCTGACATTGGGATCACTGGTGTTGCACTCTCCTGGTTCTCATCATACCTCACTGACAGACAACAGTTTGTACAACTCGGTAATCACAAGTCACAAGAAAGTGCTATTTCACTGGGTGTCCCCCAGGGGTCAGTACTGGGTCCACTCCTATTCATCATATATCTCCTCCCCCTGGGCAAAATCCTCCGTCAACATGAGGTTAATTTTCACTGCTACGCCGACGACACACAGGTCTACATTTCCTCTAGTGGTGGGCTTGGGTTTAATCCAGAACTCTGCTGCCCGGATCATCACCCGCACCAACTCATCCGACCACATCACCCCAATTCTCACTCAGCTACACTGGCTTCCTGTACGCTACCGTATTGACTACAAAAACATTCTACTCATATATAAAGCTCTCCATAACCTTGCCCCCATCTACATCACCGACCTCCTTCAGGAGTACACCCCCTCCCGCACCCTCCGCTCTTCGTCCGTAGGACTTCTCACCGTCCCAAGCTCTCGCCTCAAAACCATGGGTGCTCAAGCTTGCAGCTGCTCGGCTCCCAGACCCTGGAACTCCCTGCCACTACACATCCGACAGTCTGATTCCATAACAACATTCAAATCCCAACTCAAAACCCACCTGTTCAAACTGGCATTTTCTTTATAAACTGTACCCTGTGTCCTTTTGTGTCCTTCTATAGTCCATTTCCTGTTGTTTGTCTTGTCTTACCCCGGCTGATACTTCACTAAATCCATTGTTTTAATTATTCCCTATATTGCCCCTATGCCCTGTAAGGTGTCCTTGGGTGTTATGAAAGGCGCCCCCCAAAATAAATGTATTATTATTACTTACTGTCCATGATGACTCCCACCAGCGGCTCGTTGTTCTTGTTGAGGATCTCCCAGAGGGCGAAGGGCTCCTCTGGAGTGTTGGGCAGCAGCCTGAACAGCAGGGTGATGGTGTAGTCTGAGGGCAGCCCTTCAGGGTGGATGAACCTGGGAGACAGACGGAAACATCAGGTACATGTTGTGAAGCCTTACCGGATTTGATTATTACTTTCTCAAGTTGTTTTCTGCCCTTTGATCTAACTTTTAAAAACACACTATGTGTTTAGTGAAAATTGTATGTGTGTGTACCTGGTGGGCTGTGCCAGGAAGGCGTCACTGTGCAGGTGGAAACTGGGGAAGGTGTTGAAGGTGCCAGGTACCATGGAAACGCCAGGGACACTGCTGTACCTATTCTCCACCAGCCCAAAGAGCTCCATCATACGGAAACCTGAGGACAGGGGAAGGAGTTTGAACTTGATCATCATTTACATTTAAAGCTGGGACCAGATTGTGGTGCATTCAAAATAAACAAAGTCAGAAGCCATAATTGAAGAGAAATGCAAAATTGTGCGGCATATTCTCATGAAAATAAAATAATTTCTCAAAGGCCGGGGCCTTCATCTGTATATAATACATGAGTCCTACATGAAACTGTTCAGAATAAGATGTTTGGATTACTGTTCTTTAAATAACCAGGTCATGATTTCCGGAAATAGACATTGTTCAGTTTTCATGTATTCTTTTTAGCTTTGAGTGCCATATGTAGAGTGCCATCTTGTTCCATTATGTTGGAGAGAAGGAATACATGTCTACTGCTGCGATCTCCAATACTCAGCAACTCACACTAAACAAATCTAGATTGATAAAAAAGTCTACGATCAGAGGAAGATATGCATTGTGTCAGCTTCAAAAGGAATGCTTCCGAGCATACTGCACATCCTCAGGGTATCTAAGGTACTTGTTCAAACGGTATAATATACTGTGCATTTAAGATTTAGTATCAAGTGGGAACAAATAGGAAAAGACCATGACTGTTCACAGTATATTAATATAGACTTTTTTACCTGGTGTTATGCTGCCACTCATCGGTACTGATGGACACGCTGGGAAAGAAAGTGTGTTGATTAAAAAGACACATTCCTTCAGACAGATATGTCACATACGACACAGTATCACATATGGGGCGAAGCCTGCGAGCTAGTTCAGGCAGTCAACTCGAGCACCAATGATATATTAACACGTGACGCACCTCGTCCCTCTTACAACCAACCAAACACATTCTCCTAAACATGCCGCTCTATTTAAGCTGCCAGGTCTTCCTTCCTCTGCCTCGCTCATGCTGCCACTGCTGTGTTCACTTGCTATTGCTGCGTTCATGTTCCTGCTGCTGTGTTTCATGTTGCTGCTGCTCGCCTGCCCCACCACCACCCCGGCTCCACCCCAGCTTCCACCTGTAGGCTCGGGGGATAGTTATCTAATCATCACTCAATGTTCTTTGTAAATCTGTGGAGTGATGAGGCCCGAGCCTAGACGCCAAACTCAAACTATATGCTGCTATAATAAACATTTTAAGAACACGTGAGTTGTCTGACTGAACTAGACTTAAGATTTTCCCGGAAGCTTTGGGTACTCACTGGCAGTGGCGGCCTCACACACAAAGGTCACCAGCTTCTCCTCGATCTTGGAGAAGGCGTCCAGGTCGTCCACGAAGAACACGTGTCTGTCGATGGGTTTACTGGCGATGCTCACCAGCTCCCCGTAGTCAGCGTCAGCAAAGCCAATCGCAAACACAATGTAGCCTTTACAGGAAGACAGGAGGAGAAGCAACAGTGTGGGTCAGGAATCTCAACTGTCTTCACCAAGGAAGAAGCTAGCACACAGAAATGATGCAATGACTTATTCTTGAATTATAATGGTACGAAAGTTTCAACTTACACTTAAAAACTGCATTTCAAGTAAGTTATAAAGCTTTGTTTTTAATTCACTGTTATTATTAATGATTAGAAATGTAAGAAATGATCCTCATTGTGATTTACCATAATGTCAATGTCTATTCATATTATGAAAGGTGACAAACCGTTTCATTCAGTATGAATATTATGAATATACTGAACATTCAGTGCTGATGTCTCCTTCTGTAGTTGCCATCTGATGTAATGATGTCCATTTAAAGGACAATGCTAACTGTATATGTGGGACCTTCCATCCAGGAGATGCTCTGACCTTCCATCTGCATCTCCTTTGAAACCTTGTTGACGTCATCCTGAGATCGACCGTCGGTGAGGACCACCAGGACGTTGGGGATCCCCCTCCTGACTCCCCCTTCTGTCGTGAAGATGTTCTCCTTCACATGTTGGATGGCGCGCCCTGATTGGACAGATGAAACAAATGATTTCCCAACATGTTGTTAACGTACAATCGTTCTAAATGGACTTATTTACTGAGGATTCGTAAATACAGATAATGTTGCACATGGTTCCAGCAGAAGGCGCAGACATTGATACTTTCGACTAGGGCTGAAAGAAAAAAAGGACAGTCCTTCCTTTTTATACGTTACAATTCCAAATATAAGCTTTAGCTGACATGATTTCTGTCACTAAGAACTGTGCATTGACAGGAAGTCAAGATTCATTTTCAACAGTCATGGATTCAACTGTTGAATGCTGCTTCATATTATACATTCAAATTGTATTTCCCCACAAACTGATGTTGGAGGTCTGTCAATCTAGAATTTGGTGCCAGTTGTAGTTCTGTCAGTTTACTGTTCCAGCTACTGGATCATGTGAAGCCAGTTCTCCTCCTTTAAGCTTTGTGAACTAGTTCCTTATTTAACGCCAGTGCAACCGTCACTAAAGTAGCCACTGTAACTCTGGACTGTTTCAGGGAATGAGAAGACACTTGGGGTCCCATCCTTAAAACATTACTTGATTACTTTTGAAATGGTAGCTGGAAGCTACGGAACCCATGAAAGCCAAGTGGTCAACATTTTTGTACAAGATAAACTTTAGCCAGAACTAAATGAACTCTGTGAGACCCGCGGGAGCGCAGGTGGCCAACATCACTGCTTTAAGAGGCTGTTGCACGAGTAGAGTAAAGAAAAACCTGAGGAAACCATGTGTACCAACCAGTTCATGCTAGATTGTCTTGTCGGGGAGGAGCCCAGAACATTTGCTCTCCTGCAACTGGGCTTTCAGCTCCAGTCACTGAACTAACAGTTAGAACTGTTCCAGACTTGAATGCCTTTAGGAGAGAGCTCAGAAACCCCTTATTGTGGATATGCCTAATATACCTCGCTAAGGTAAGGAAGATTTGACCATCACAACAACTTATGTTATACAGCGAGGTCCAGCTTCATAAAATGGTCTTACTACAATGAAAGGCTCATATGGGGAATAGCATCATCACACATAAAGACATCAAATACATACTTTTTAGAATAGGCAAACATAATACAGTTATACTGACTGACTTTTAGTATTAACTCTAATTCAATATGTATATACAGACAAGTTACAAGAAAACATAATGAGTTGAAATGGAAGGGCTTGTACAAATAAAGCCCAACTTCCCTTCTGTGAGTTATCGAATTACATTGTTTTTGTTTGAAGACCTACAACCTTATGGCAAAATAAATACAAACTTCATGAAGTTTTCAAAGTCAAATAAAACAAATACATATATCTATATTTAAAGTCCTAAGAATCTTAGCAAGTCATGTGGCTGATATAGTAATACCAAAATACAACAATAAAAAGATGAGGCTAGGGTTATCTTGTTTACATTTTTTCTGTCAGATAAAAGCAGAACTTAAACCACACGGGGGACTTGTGATGTTTTTATTCCCGCATTATATTTTAAAAAAGCCATTCATTCTATGTATACGCCATACAATTCACCCAACATGTATTTTATCGATAACAAATCATTCGTTTCACGCACTCTCCAGGCCTGTGTGAACACTGTGAAAGGGATTAGTCATCTCAGTGTGCACAACGAGGCGATAGAGTGCCTGAGGAGGAGGATAAGGAAGGACAACCCCCCCCCGGCAGCGACTGTTAGAAATGTGTTCTCTGCAGTCGTCCCTGCACGAGTCAGTGAGTGCGCTGCTTTATTAACTCTGATGAATGAATACACTTCTCCCTGCTTCCCCACACACTTCCTCTCATTACACACACTCCAGAAATAAGGACTTCTATGCATCCACTGTGGGCATGGAAACAAATACCTTATAGGCATGAAGGCGTGTTCACAAGGGTAATATATTGATGCAATGCACACCAGTGCAAGTACACCTTCACACACATGAAATGGTGTGTGTGTGTGTGTGTGAGAGTTGTTGCCTGCTGCGATGTATGCTGTCAGTATTGATGATGTTATTAGGAAGCTCTGAGTGTCTGCACCCAGCAGACTGTTCCTTTGTCTTACACAGGTGTGTCTTCATTTCTTGTTGGATTACATGTTTGTATTTATTCTCTTGCCTATTTTACTTTCTCGTATTCCATGGATTCACATGTATTATATATACATGCTGCATGTGTGCTAATGTGCTTTAGCCTCTGACTTGTTTTCTGTCTGTATTATGTTGTGTGTCATTCTGTTCATGCAAATGAGCTGCAGCATGTGTGTGGGAAGTGCTCTACGAATAAAGCTATATCATTACTTTTGAGAGATGGATGTATTATGGGGAGCAGCTGGAATTGTATCTGCTGCAGCTACAGAACTTGCACACAGTTGTTTTGAAGTCCTAGTGTGCTTTTTGAGGTGTCCCCTTCCCTGTAGTGAGTTATATGTTTGTGTGCATGTGACTGGTCTGCAAAGGCTACACTCCCTGTGTTCCCCCACACACTCACCTGTCTTGGTGTTTCCTCCCTTGTAGGAGATCTTGTTGATGGCGTCTAGCAGTCGCTCCTTGTCGCCGTACGAGTTCAGTTTGAACTCTGTCCTGGCGTCGTCACTGAACTGAGCGATGGCCACCTGTCAGACAACACACAAACAGGTAACTCATCAATTCAAAAAGGACAACGTTTTACACAGAGTTTAATAAAAAGGACTAGATCCTCAAAAATGGCCCATTGCGTTTTTTTCACCAAGCCTATATTTGATTATCGAGATAACCATTTACCATCTATCACGGTTCCACTTGTTTTCATAAAGGCTAAAGACATGTGTTCATGAGAGATTGCACTGCTGTGCTTTATGGTTCTTTGTCATAATGAGCCTGTACCTGAGTTCCATCGGGGCCGATCCGGTCCAGAGCTCCGGCGGTGCTGTACAGGAAGCGGATGATCTTCAGGAAGTTTTCATCCCCGATACTCCAGGAGCCGTCGACCAGGAACACCAGGTCTGCTTTGGCTGCCTTACATACTTGAGGAAGAGACAAGGAAAAGCTAAAGTGAGGAAACTCTGGGTAGATACATAGAGAGCAAGATGGAGGACAGATGGAGACAACACAGACCATGGAGGAGGAGCTTATGTAGCTTTGCTTTTAACACACATATCTAGTTTCTTTATATGTCTCTTTTAACACATAATTCATGTGTTATATTTGTGTCATTAGCTTTTAAATAAGGTGATTTGATAACTGATATTTCCTGTCCTTTTCAAAGTACTTTCTCGTTAGAAATAACTTGTTTGTGTCGTCCCTTTTCTTCTTTTGCTTTGAATCAGGATTACAAATAAAAACATGTTTACTTCTCTGCTATTCTCTTTGTTTTTCTATTCTTCTTTATAACTTTGCTTTCATTCCTTTTTATCACAGTACAAATAAACAAACTCTTGATTGTGATGAATGCTTGTTTACCATTCAGGAATGTAAGGGAATTGGCTTGTGATGAAAATGATTGATTAGATGTAGAGAGGTCTTCACTTGTTGACATTGTTAAAAGTTGCCTCCATCGCTCCTCACCAATCATTCCATTCACTTCCTGTCTCCGCTGATGAAAGCACATTTACTGCTGCCACCTTATGGATTGATCTGCAGATGGCTTTCATTCTGTTATCACTCTTTGTTTACTGCAAACTGCGTTATGACAAATAGAATACACTGTCCCAGCTACACACCATGCAATAATACTCAAGAATAATACGTTTAACTAGAATACATTTGACCCAAAAAACATGAAGTGCATCACCACACCAACAGGATCTAGATTTGAGCTTGAAATAAATGGAGAACATGTCGAATCCATGGATACTATGTTATAATGGAATGATGTTTTGTTTCACAATAATCAGTGTCATTCTTGTATTCTTTGAGAACATGCATGTCAATAAGAGTAGTTTTCACATATAGCTGCTACGAGAGTGTATGAGAGCTTTGGGTTTTGGGCATGCTGGCTGCGCATCACTCTCATTCATCAATGGCAATGTTTAGATGGATTTAGGAACTTCCCCTCGATTCTATTGGCTCTAACGGTTGAAAAGAGGTGTCAATCACCAACATCGACCGATGGGTTCCGGAGAAAGGGCAAATCCACCCAAATGACCCCAGAAGAGGGTTGTTTTTGCTAAATCTCTCTAAAAAGGTCAAATGTAACTTGTTTTGCATCAATCTTGATACAGGGTACTTATTATATGTTATAGTTTGGATACGTAATGGTTTCTTTTGGACGGACACTATCATTTAAATTGTTTTACTATGTTCAATCTGAATTTTCTTTAAAATAAAAAATGTATATTGATTCTGACTGTTCTACATCCAACTCACAGGTTTATCATTGCTTTGAGAAAAAGGATTATTAATGTTCCCCTTGTAGAAGGGAAGATATGGTCATTTGTTCTGGGCATGTCATTTTCCAGCCTGAGACCTGAAAAACAGGCTCAGGGCTCAACAGGTTCAAGTTTTGAAATCAACTAAAACAATAACCGGACTTCATATCCTCAATGTCCAATGTATGACCATGTTCTGTGTACCTTTAATAGATCAAATGCATGTAGCTGAATGAAAGCGGTGTGTTGTCTGTGTTACTTACATTAGGCAGGTTTGTTTTTAGGTTATTGTCTTTGTTGTAAATGTATCATGTATCATTCATCCTCAAATGTATCATTATGTTCTTGTTAAAGGTAAAGTTATTGTCATTATACACAGAGTACAACGAGATTCAGAGTGCAACTCTGTCCCGGTGTGCACAAAATACGAACAAATAAATAACACTAAAAAACACGGCAATAGGACAGACAACATACAATCATACGGGGAATAAATAGTTACAAATATTGATATAAAAAATAGTATATAAAGTGCATTTAAAAGTGTGTGTATGTGTGAGAATGGTTACGGTTATTGCATTATGTGTGGTGGTTGAGCAGCCTGACGGCCCAGGGGTAGAGACTGTTTTTGGGTCTGTTTGTCCGTGACTTGAAGCTCCTGTATCTCCTCCCAGAAGGCAGGAGAGAGAACAGTCTGTGACCTGGGTGAGAGCTGGGTGAGAGCTGGGTGAGAGCTGGGTGAGAGCTGGGTGAGAGCTGGGTGAGAGCTGGGTGAGAGCTGGGTGAGAGCTGTCCTTTATGATTGTGTTAGCTCTGCTGAGGCAGCGGGAGGTGGAGATGTGTTCCAGAGAGGGCAGGGGCAGCTGATGGTTTTCTCTGCCATCCTGATCACTCTCTTGTATATGTTATTTCATCGTCATAACTACACTGTAGCTATGTTCGTATGACCAATAAAAGCCTTGAACATTGTATTTGCATCTATATAAACTCCTGCATTGACTTGGTCTATTGCACGTCTGTCTGTCCTGAGAGAAGGAGATTCCTGTAGCTGAATCTGGGTTTGTTTGGAGGAGTTCCTGCTTGTGGGCGGTGAGGGTATAAAGGACAGAGGGTGTCAGATACAGTCTGTAAAGCCCCCTGAGATCGATGTGTCATTTGGCTTTATGAATAAACTTTGATTGATTGACTCATAAAACGAAATATCTTGTGAACATGAAGTTCTCTTGCTGGGTGATGAACATTGCCTGATAAAAGACGATCACATAATATCCGACGTGGTCCTGTGCCTCAGCTGATGAAGTGTTCCCTTTACTCCCCAGACATACTGGGATAACGCTGCAGTGTTACACAACATGCTGATTTGTGGTGACAGAGATATGGGAAGAATGGAAATTGCATGTTTGTTGAGATGCTGGAACAAATCCAAAATCCACCAGGGTTTATATTTCTGACATTTACTTGAAATGAACCTTCTGTAAAAATGTATCTCTGTAATGATATGTCATCTCTGTGTGTGGTTGTTTGAACTCAGAATCATCCCTACACTTTTCACTTTCCTTTGAGCCTGTGTTTTTATATCCCATCATTTAGCTTGTGTGTGTTTAAGGCACATCACTGGCAGGAGAACGTGTTTTACTCTTCTCTTTAAAGTGTCAAGGTTGACTGACACTAAACTGTCATAGTCAAAGAAAATACATGAAGTTTAATAATAATAATAATACATTTGATTTCAAAGCGCTTTTCCAGGTGCTCAAAGACGCTTTACAGTGGTTTGATAAAGACTCCTTTAGATGACAGTAATCATTTCAAAAGCAAAGCTGCCCTTTCAGCTCAGATAATTGTTTATGACCTGCTCGTATGTAGAGCTATCAATGTGTAAGATGAACTTCAGATTCATTCATTTACAACAAAGAAATGTAACTATTGCACAATCTTTGGTACAGTATTGACCTCTAAAAGGTATGCTACTGGAAGTATAATGCAGCAGACATAAGATAGAACTACACTTGTGTATTCCTGAAGTATGCCAAAACAAAATGACTGTTGAACGAGAGAAACGTGAAACCCCAACTAGAAAGCAAATCAATACATCATCAGGAAATTGACAGGAGACAATCAATAATATTAAATCAACTCTTACCTTCCTTGGCAGGGGGGATTGTGGGTAACGGTGTGGTGCTGGGGGGCGTGGTTGGTGCTGGGGTTGGGATGGGTACTGTGTAGAGACACAAAACAAAGAAGACACACGTGGCGGCATGAAAACCTGCAATCATGACCACATCGATGGTAAACCAATCACCACATGCTATAAAAGCCCGTGATGAAATGTCCCCTCCTAAAACAACAAGAGAGGAGAGGAGCCAGCGTCAGGCGGGACGCGTCAACATACACAAGGAGTCAAATAACTCCGCTCTGCTCTGTGGTTTCAGCTCCTGTGTCATTCGGTGATTAGTGATCACAGAACTGTCTCTGCTTTCAACTCCTAACCTGTATCCGAGGGGGGCTAGAAAATAGATAAACCAGCTGCAGCCCCTCCCAAACACATACACAGTTTGCTCATATGGTTCTGCTTAGGCACTAAATCAGATCCCCGAGGCAGCGGATGACTTGTGACGGCAGGTGGGAGCGTTCAGCAGCGGTTAGGAGAGAAAAGGCTCTGGCTTTCATTTGCATCAAAACAAAGCAATACGTCATGTGGAGGCGCTGTGCAGAGCTACGGCGCTGAGGGAGTACCTCAACATTCTTTGATCTCGTTTTTCATACGTCTCAATTTGGATACTTCACTTAGTACACTGCATGTTGAGTGCTTAAAATTGAATTTTGAACGTGTAGTTTTGTTTCTAATCACACACTGCTGCTGTGCCCGATTAGTCCTCACTTAAACCCCCCAAAATTGGCTTCTTTTCAACAGCAAATTAGTACTTTGCGTCAGTGGCGTAGCCAGGAATTATTGTGTGGGTGGGCCTGGAGAAATGTAGGTGGGCCAGGGGGAGACATATTAAGCGTGCGGTCTGAGCTGAAACTTCATTAATGATTTTAATGATTTTTTAATGCACTAATAGAACATAAGCATAAATTAGCAGTGAAAACAAAAAACATAGGCACGGCGGCCTCAGAATGTGTGTAAAACTGACATCCACATAGGGATGGGTATCGTTAAGGCTTTAACGGTACTACTGCTTTTATCGATAGCGCTTTATGCTCCAGGTTCAGTACCAACCACATCATAAAGTACACGGACGATACAACAGTGGTGGGACTCATCAGGGACAACAACGAACAGGCTTACAGGGAGGAGGTGAAACATCTGACAGACTGGTGTAACACCAACAACCTGATCCTGAATGTCGATAAAACAAAAGAGATCATTGTCGACTTCAGGAACAAAAAGCACTGTCACCCACCACTCCACATCAACGGCACAGCAGTGAAGACTACAGACAGCACCAAGTTCCTGGGGGTGCATATCACAAGCAGTCTGACCTGGTCCACTCTTCCTGCGCAGGTTGAGAAGAGCACAGCTCCCCCCTCCCATCCTCACCACGTTCTACAGAGGAACCATAGAGAGCGTGCTGACATCTCCATCTGGTCGAGAGACTGCAACGCCAAAGACTGGAAGTCTCTGCAGAGAGTGGTCAGGACAGTAGAGAAGATCATCGGAGTTTCTCTCCCTCCCATCAGAGACACCGCTCAGAAACGCTGCCTGACAAAGCCCAGAACATATTTAAAGACCCCACTCATCCTCACCATGCTCTGTTCTCCCTGCTGCCCTCCAGCAAGAGGTTCCGCAGCATTAAGAGCAGAACAGCCAGATTCTGCAATAGCTTTTTCCCCCATGCCATCAGACTGCTGAACAGCAAGTAGACCAGTGATACAGAGATTACATTACGCTGTGTAAAGAGCACTTGTTATATAGTATGTCTATTTTATTTATATGTATAGTCTTTATATTTTAAACGCACACTTTATCTTTAATTTTATCAGCACCACGTCACTATTATTTATTTATATGTACAATTTTAGCAAGTTTTTATATTGTCCTGTTCCTGTAAGCCAGTACAACGACATTTCGTTTGAATAGTACACTCTGTGTCTTGTTGATATGGCAATAAAGTATTTCTGTCTATGTCTTATCAATCCAGTCCTTTAACATTACTTTTATCGGTTCTTTTGGAGAAAAACATAAGGTAAACTAACTAAACAAATTGTGAACAAAACTAACATTGCTTTTTATTTCAATAAAATAAATAATATTTCACATCAAAAGAAACAACAATGTTTTAACAAATCGTATTAAATAATATGATGACAGAACTGTAAACAGAATAGCTGAAACTTTAACAAACTAAATAACTCAGTTTCCTCTAATCATTAACCCATGTTTGTATCATGTAGTTAACTCGGTGTGTTGCTGCTAGCATACATAACACCTGACGTGGAAACGTTACTCGTGGATGGGGCTACAGAGCTGCTAGAAAGACGGTCGAACCCGGTACATTCATCCGTCTGAATGTGGAGCACTTTTGCTAAATGTTTAGACAAATTGCTCGTGTTACCGCCCTTACATGCTAAACGCTTATTCCACTTTTGGTAACGAGCATTGTCCACATCGACACGGCTATAGTTTAACCACACCTCGGAGCGCGTTCTCTCCGCCATCTCCTCCGTGTGTGTGTGTGTGTGTGTGTGTGTGTGTGTGTGTGTGTGTGTGTGTGTGTGTGTGTTGCTGCATGTAGCAGCTGCGTGTGTAAACTGCCCCACCCCCTCGCACACAGACGGGGAGAGATCTCTTAAACGGAGTTGGCGACACTTAAACTGCAATGTAATGTTTGTGTAGCAATAATACATGCAACATATATCGGGGCACAGGTTGTTTATCCTTGACAGTCGCACAGTGGGCACACACTGAGTGTTTTCATATTCAGCAAATGTGTACAGGCTAAACTGCATAGGCCTACCTCAAGAAGAAATAATACTTTCATTCACTCACGGCAAAAGTTACTTTACTTACTATAAAAACTCACGGTAAAAAAATGCACTCCCTATTCCATTGTCATGAAGGTGGAATCTAACTATATCCAGAATAAGTTTTATTGGATCCAGGCTAGAAACATGTTTATTTCTGCTGTAGATTTGGGCATTTTAACATGGGGGTCTATGGGAATTGCTCCTTTTTGCATCCATCCCCTGTCGGCCACTAGATGAACTGCAGTTTGTGGCACTTCCTTCTGGGCTTCCCGGCTCTGCGCTTGATTGATTGATTGATTGAAAAGTTTATTAACAGCTTGTATATTGGGTACAGTACAGTACAGCTCAAAACATACAATTGTTAAGGGGATGCAGACCAGAGAAAGACTTTCGTCTTGTTTACATCAGGGTCCCCCATTTCCAATTCATCATATCATTTAAGACATATAAGACATATTTGACATACAGATGGCTTATTTACAATTTACATACAGGTGTTTTTTTACATACAGATTGCTTGTTTACAATTTTCATTTTAGATTTCGTTCTAATACATCCTAACCGGACATTTAAGACATACCAAGTCTACAGATATACAGTTAGTAACAGAGTCTAAAATGCGAGTATATACATAGATGGGGGGGGGGGGGGGAGAAGCTGTCCATTGAATGACAGGTTGAGATTTGTACCATTACCGGGGCCAGGTTTGCAATGCTCTCCCCCGAAGGTGCTCTTTAAGAGAGGTTTTGAAGGTAAGTATAGTTTTACTTTCCTTTACAGTTGTGGGAAGAGCGTTCCACCTTGATGTGGCATAATTGCGAAACGTGTATTCCCCCTTTTTTGTGCCAAATCTGGGTTTCACATGATTTGTGGAGCTCCCTCTGGTGTTATGATCATGGTATTCCTTGACCTTTGGGAAGAATTGTGACATGTACATGGGTACCATAGAGGTGTAGTGGATCTTGTAGACCAGGCCCATTGCAAGTAGCTGTACTCTGTCGTCTACTCTAAGCCATCCTAGGTTGTCAAAGTGGGCAGAAGTGAGGTGGGTTCTAGATGAGAGGTCAAGCAGTAGTCTGAACAGTTTATTTTGCGATGTTTGAAGTTTTATTTTTAGCGCCTTGGAGGTGCTATGGTACCATGACGTGCAAGCATAGTCATAGTACCCTTGAATGAGTGCTCCTGCCAGAGTTTTCAGGGTGTTTTTGTTTACCAGAGAGGAGATCCGGTATAGGAATCTAGTTCTTTGATTGACTTTTTTTATTACATTGGATGCCATTTTGTCACAGGAGAGGTTTGCCTCAAGAATAGATCCTAGGTATGTAATTTCCTTCTTACTTGTGACAATAATGTCGCCCACTGCAACTGAGAAGTCGTCGGATTTGCTGAGATTATGTTTCGAACCGAAGAGAATGGACTCTGTTTTACCCAGGTGTAATGATAATTACTGATTGGCTGTGGGTGGGCCAGACGTGCATGTGGGTGGGCCCAGGCCCACCCACAGCTACGCCGCTGCTTTGCGTTAGTAGTGGAAAAAACCCACAACGTATTGGCTTAGTGTTGTGTTCACCAGAGCAAGTGCAATCACAGCAGGATGCCTAACTTTCATGACCTGGAGAAGATGGAGATCGTTTAGTGTGAAAAGTGTCCGGCGCTCAACCCTCACCCTTGTTACAGTTAGGAGGGCACCATCTGGGTACTCTTTGCCTTTGCCATACTTATGCAATCAAAACAGCCATTTGAAATAGATAAAGGTGACATTTGATACACAGCATCTCACTTCTCTTAGTTTCACATCTTCAGCCTCGTCTTTCTTTGTCGTTATCGCTATCGCTTTTCATCCCCATCTCTTTTAATACACTACAGAAATGAAGGAGCAACATCTCTAAATATGCTCCTTGAGGGGAATCCATCTCAGGAACAGCATGCCTGCTTTGAATGTTGTCATTATAAGTGCCTGCCAATCAGGGTGGGAATTTCACGACGGCCACGACGGCCAGTGCCCCGCACTTTGGCCGTGATGCCCTGTGAAAAAAAATGCAATTCACGGCCAAAGTGGCCTTTGTGCCCCTGTCAAAAGTTCCAGTGTAAACAACGCTAGTGAAGTCATACTAGTGCGCGCAGTAGGATAGTCCCGTGCCTGTGGATCAGAGCGATTGCTCTGCTGTGATTGTTCCGTCAGACATGCCGTGTAAACAATGCTAGTAAAGTCATATTAGTGCGCGCAGTAGGATAGTCCCGTGTCTGTGGATCAGAGCGATTGCTCTGCTGTGATTGTTCCGTCAGAAATGCCTGTAGGGGCCCGACAGCCTCCTCCTCAGCCGCGGGAGCAAGACAAGCACAGGTAAGCAAGCGGACCAAGCTGTTTTGATATGATTTAACTGAAGTATGTGGTAGTATTTGAAAGGACTTAACATTTACGTGTTTATAGAAAGTACTATTGATAGGTAATTACCATTGTATTAGCCTATTTAAAGTCGACTCGTTACATTTTGTCATGAAAACTAGCGATAACTAGCTAGTTTGGATAGCGCTAACGTCTTCCCTTCAAGGGGTCTACATCTAGTGTTGCTTCTACAAGCTAGCAGGTCACCTTTGAATCTAGTATTTTTCTTGCTAAGCGGTTTTGATATAATACATGACTGACTTATGTGGTTTATGGCTGAACTTAACGTATACGTTAAAGAAACACTATTGCTAATCAGCCATTTGTAAAACGACTGGTGTTGACGTTAGTGCTACACTTTTCAGTCATGTTGATTGACCAGCGTAATTTAACCAAACGGCCTTTGTGCCCTGTCATGTGGCCTTTGTGCCCTTAAAAAAAATGTGAACGGGAAGCCTAAAATGACGAAATTCCAAGCCTGCTGCCAATACAGTACAGCCTTTATGAATCAATTAGGACCTGGATATACAGCAGCATGCATAACCCTAATGGTTGTAATTCACTTAACTGCCATTTCAAAGATATGATGCTAATTTGGTTTGATGCTAGCAACAGGTTTTCGCAAGTACATTTCTAGCATACTGATTTCAGCATCTAAACAAATAGCTCAAGAAAGGTCACTCAACATCTTATTCAAGCTTTGTTAGCTCCATGCAGACACATGTGTAGAACATAACATGCACCAGGGTATACAATGACATGTCATCTAACAAATGACATGCCATGTATACAGGGGGCTAAAAGCAACTAGTGCTTGCTTTTAGTATTTCATTTATATGTTCCTTATTTGCCTGAACAGCCCGAAGCAGAATATCTGTTTTTTCTGTTGATTTTCCAAAGAAAGTCAACATTTATGATAGAATTGATTGATCCTGAGATATAAAATGACTTATCCATGTGTTTTCTTTTTTTTGTCAAACAACGTTGCACACTATTTGTATAGCCTGCCTGCCTGTATCTGCTCTGTTCCTGTTAAGGCCCTGACACACCTCCCCGATTTTGGGAGTCAGAGGCCGTCAGAGGCAGTCGAGGGCCCGACTCAGGTTGGTGTGTCCCGCACCGTCGTTACTTTACGGCACATTTTCACACCTCCCGCGGCCGATTCAACATGATGAAAGTCGGCCAAAGAAATCACTGATTGGCTGTTGCGTCTTTTGAATGACGAATACACACTACCGCTGCCTGCTGGTAAGGACAGCTATTGCCACTCGTCGACTGAAGTCTTTGCGGTGTGTTCGTAGGCGGGCAGCGTGGGCGGCGTAGCGGACGTAAAAGTCGGGACGCCTTCGGTACGCGTTCTTTGGTCTCACGGCCCGTCTACACTACAGGCGTCAAAAAATGCTTTCAACGCTTTGCCCATTCATTTGAATGGGGTGACGTAGGATATTTTCAAACTTCGCCGAACTGCATTGTGGGTAGCATGGCAAGGCGTTGCAAGCATCGCGAGCGTCTATCGTCGTCAAAAGTTGAACAATGTTCAACTTTTGAGGCTCGATGCTTTCGAAGCTGGCATCAGCCAATCAAATCCCGTTTATGCAAATCCCGCCAGTACAAGCGCTAGCCAATCAAACCGCGTGCAAGCTGGGAGAGCCAGACCACAGTTAATTTCCTCATATTCCAAACGAGAAATTACGGGAGCAAATCAGCCGGTTCTTTACGACCAGAACTATTTACCGGGATACAAACCGGAGGAACCAGGCATGGAGGGAGGTGGCAGAGACAGTGGGTGAAACTGGTAGGTTTTCGCCTGTTTGGGGATTTTATATCCAGTTTACTTCGTTTTAACATTGCTATTGCTTTGTATGTCGGGGGCGGGAGATTCATGTGATTGGTTGTTGGTCGCGAGAAATCGCCAAGCCTCAGACACGCCCAGCTTCAAGCTTTTTCGATGCCTGTAGTGTAGACGGGCCGTCAGGTTGGTGTGTAGCGGCCTTTAAGATGTTGACTGTTAGCTACTTCGAGTTGGACTGCTGCCTTTGCTTGAAAGCTTTTTGTATCATCATCCGACCAGTAAATCATCAACTTTCGCTGAGCACTTTGCCGTCTGCATTCGGATGCCTTTCACGCTGCATGGTACAAACCAACGTCTAGGGATGGGTATCGTTAAGGTTTTAACGGTACTACTACTTTTATCGATACCGCTTATCGGTCCGGTACTTTAATGGTACTCTTATCGGTTAAGGTAAATTAAATAAACAAATTGTAAATAATGTGAACTTACAGAACTGCAAAAAACTAATATTTACTGCAAAAATACAGAGCAACACAGGTATGCTGCAAAATGCCTAACGGTTCTTCTGGAGGAAGATTGAGGTTGTGGTGGAACATTACGGGACTTAATGTGTTGTTGTTTAGACAAATTGCTCGTGTTACCGCCCTTACTGTACATGCTAAACTCTTATTGCACTTTAGGCAACGAGCATTGTCCACATCGAGACGGGTAAAGTTGAACCATACCTCGGAGCGTTTAGTTCTCTCTGCCATCTCCGCCGTGCGTGTGTGTGTTGCATGCATGTACATTAGCAGCCACGTGTGTGTAAACTGCCCCGCCCCTGGGCTTCACCTGTCCAATGAAAATAACAATGGAACACCAATGCTTGAGCTTAAGGACCTACTTTCAACAAAGAGACAGAAAATACCAAACATGTTTCAAATGGGGTTAATATGTGTGTAAATCTGGCTATTCTACTAGCCAGTGCCTTCTTAACCATTGACCTTAGGGCACAGCACTGCTAACAGTAAAATGGCTTCAACAACTAAAGTATGTTTCAAGGAAAAAACAAATGGAAAAAAAGAGTGGAAAATACCTTTTAAAATAGGAACATTTGCAACAGTTCATTGAAAATAAAACAGAAAATAGCGTGTGCCCACCCACCACGCTCGGTCGCTGCTCTGCAGACAGTGGGTTTGGGCCTGCCGATGCAGAACAAACGTCTGTAAGGACCGAAGCTCCCACGAGGATGAAACATGTTTTATTGTGAAAGTGACGTGATAGTCCTCCCAGCCTGTGGAGGGCTCCTTTTATACACAATGACAGCTGACAGCCATTTCTGTACGAGTGTGTTTGTTAAGCGTGTTCTGCTTCATTGTTATTATGACACATGTACGGGCGCATTTGAACAGGAGTCTGGCACGTTGTATGGAGGAGGTACTTGATGAGTCTGTTTGAGTTTGTTTTTGTATTACAGCCTCACACGGTGTGCGTACGGCAAATACATATGTTTGTAAGCATGTGTTCTGAAAAGCCACATTTCTCTGAAATGACCGACTAAAATGAATTTCTGAATACTTATGAAATGAGACACATGTTGAATTAAAACTCAAGTGTAAGTTTCTGGTTTTAAATTGTGCTGAAATGAATAATTGTACAGCGATGCCAGTCCTAGTCATTTCAGATTACGACTTACTTGAATACTAAATTCTGAATGGTCAATTTGAAAAATTCAGCAGAAGACAGACAGGAAGTAAACACAAATGGGAACAGCAGAATATCAAAAAAGGGAATAATAGTTCAATGTTTTCATACAATTACATACAATCAGATCTATTATCAAAAATCAGTTTTTGTAAACATGTATAAACACTGTATTTGTGTCAGTGAAAGAGTCTGTGGGTCACTTACATGTTCTCTCAGTGAAAGAGTCTGTGGGTCACTTACATGTTCTCTCAGTGAAAGAGTCTGTGGGTCACTTACATGTTCTCTCAGTGAAAGAGTCTGTGGGTCACTTACATGTTCTCTCAGTGAAAGAGTCTGTGGGTCACTTACATGTTCTCTCAGTGAAAGAGTCTGTGGGTCACTTACATGTTCTCTCAGTGAAAGAGTCTGTGGGTCACTTACATGTTCTCTCAGTGATGGTGACTGCGGGCCCTTCAGTGCCATCCTGCATCTGAGCGTACACACTCATCTTATACTGCGTGTTGGCCTTCAGGTTGTTCAAACAGTGTCTGTTGGCTCCTCCGCTCAGCTTCGCCTCCTGCTTCTGACCATCTGCAGGGACAAATACACACTGGGATCAATCCTTTGGCAGTTTTTGCACTGATTTGTTTTAAATTTGAATATAACATATTCACCTATTGTGCAAAATCTAATTTATAAAAAATAAATAAAAAATCTCTTTATACATAAACATGTGGAAAGAGATTCTGAAAGTTTCAGGAACAAAGATTCTCACTTTTTGTCCTGATCTATTTATATAAAAATGAAAATGAGCTGATCAAATTGTTGCCACTTTATGATGTCATAACGATGTAGCCATTAACCAATCACCAACCAAGGTAACCCCCCCCCTCCCACCGTATCACCTGAATCTCCTCCTAGAGCGGGGTTCCCAACCTTTTTCCCGCAAGAGCGCTAATTAAAGTTTAAAAGTCTCAAATGCAACAACTACTGTCACAAACTGGATGAATGTGAAGTATGTTGTTGAAGGAGGATGAAAGCGTAATCAAGGAGCACTATTGAAGTGACTTTGATGGTTATTGGACTCAGGATTAATTCATTTGGATTCCCGCTGTATGAAGAAATGAAAGGACGGCACAAGTGGAAACAATTCACAAAGGGATTAAACTGTTTAAAACACATGCTCAAAGTAAGCCGGATTTTGCCGATGTGTTTATGTGGATTCAAAAGTCGTAAATAATCTACAAAATGGAGGAGACTGATCTGATCGGAGCAAATGACAAATAATCCAACTGAAACCAGCATGGACATTGACTGTGTTTTAAAAATGCGCTTATCCAGACAAGCCTGGTTTGGACAGTTTACGCGCAGAAGAAACATTTCTATTATATTATATTATTATTGTATATTTATTATAGAAAAAAGTATGCATTTCTGTCTTTGTATGCCTTTATTAGCTACTAACTTGAATTTTTATTAAAATTAATTAATCAATTATGTTGTATACTTTATTGTAATGTATACAATCATGTATTGTGTAACAATTATATGTAAAGAATAAAAAAATAAAAGACTAAATATGATATTAGGCCTCAAATCATCTGAGGCCTGGCGCACCCCCTGCGATTTTTGGCGCGCCCCCCAGGTTGGGAACCACTGTCCTAGAGCACCATTGTGTTCTTTGTAACCAAATGTCTCTTAGAGGGGTGTGGGGAGGGGCTCCTTATTTTCATCTGAAGTAACAGACAGAGAATCAGCACTTTGGAAACAGGGCTGAAACAGAGGGGATTATGGGTAATGCTGCAATGATCTGTTTGGTGTTTCAGCCAATCAGAGACATGTTCTGTAAATATCTGAGACCTATGATATATTGATGAAAAACAGTATAATAGGAGACCTTTAACAAATAAGACAACAAGCAAGTCAATAAAACCTCCAAACAAAACTATTTTTTTTTCATAAACAAGGCTTCCTAAAGTATTAATTGTGATTCTAATGATTTAGATAAAGAAGCCGATTATGCTTTTTGGGTTTTCCCAATAACACTAGTGAGTTAAAAAGGTTTTTGTGCATATAAATGCTGTGCAAATATAATATACCATCTCTGTAAGCGTCAGTTCTATTCAACAATAACTCTCCATCCCACAGGGGGATTTGTGAAAACACACCTAACTCTTCTTGCTTTATGCTTTGCTCTTGTATCTGCCTCTTTATTTCACACCTAACACTTTCCATCATTCCTCTCCATCGCCTGCAGCTCACATATTTCCCAGGTAATTATTTACCAGCTGTGCAAACATAAATCCTCATTTAGCTCTAATATGTGCAGAGAGAACCAATAACTGGGAGCTCCGTGAAGAAGCACAGGAGAGCTGCAATAATACGTGCCTTTATGGGACGTTAATTGCAGGCGATGTTGTTGCTGGAGGCTTGAAGGTGATACATAGCAGCCATTACTCCCTTCCGTTGGGTGGATGATGACTGTATTAAACCCAATCCTACCTTTGAGGAGGTGACTGAACGCTGGTCGATTGTTAGAGAATTGAGGCAACACCATATGTTGTTTGATGTTATTTTGGAGATCGTTATTGGTTTCAAAAGAAATGGGAAAAACAAAAGGATTTCTGCCAGTGGCTTTGGGAAATCATAACCAAGATGACTTTATTCATTGCAAGGCTGTTGTATGCAGGTGACTTTGGTGCAGAGTTGTTTTTGATGTCATTAAGAGTTTAATGAAAGACTACGAAGGGAATTTGAAGATTAAAGTTTCTGAAGGGACGACGGAGGTCTGTTGCGTATTGGCTCTGTAACATCAAATGTTTCAGAGTGTAAAGTCAGGTATACATGTTACACTCTCTCTGTATTCAATGCTCTTAATTATGACTTTAATAAATGCACTACTATCAAACTTTACTGGAAAATACAGGGCACCAAATATCTGCACTAAAACCTGAATGACTGAAGAAAAAAACCGCAGATTGTCAATTAGAACAAATTAGAGGATGCTGGCAAAACGAGGGGAAATTCCATCTTTTCCATAATTCCATTTTGTGTAATTCATCTCTTTTTCTTATCCACAAACAATGTAAAAAGGAAAATATCACTTCCTTCATTTCCACTCAGTTTTTCTATCAGATATCTGGTGCGAAACATTGAATGATTGATGTCTGATATTTAATAAAAGCTGAATATTCAGCTGCATTCAGTTCCAAGAAGTCCGTTTCCCAGGATGTGGGCAGGTCAGACAGGAAGAGTTGTTATTGTACGTTTCACCCCCTTGGATTTTCTGCACGATTAAGAAATTGAGATAGAACCACTTGTATTGTTTTTATTGTTCCTATGAACGTCTCATCCCAGAATGAGAGAACAGGCTGCAGGTGCAACCAAGAGTTCATAAGAAAAAGCCTGTATTTCTTCTTATTCTCTTTAGCACTCCTTTAGGACAACACGGCGTAATTACTGTCATTCCTGAAACAACAACATCTAATCCCAATACACTAGGCAATTATAACACCAACCGTCTGCCTTTCCCCTGTATTTTAACTCAAATGTAAATGTCAGCTGGATAACCAAGCCTTCCTCGTCTACAGAGCGCCTCAGTGATGCGTCTCTATGTCTGACGGCATACAACAATATCTTTGTGATCCCAGGCTGCTTAGGGATTGGGAAAGTGGACACTGTGTGCTGTGTACTCAAACTCCCACCGATGAAAGCAGATATGAGCATGCATACCACTCCTACTGGTGCAGATATGCAGTGTAGGAGATGATGGGAAATGACACAGTTCTATTCATCCCACTTTCACTTGCTGTCATGTTTAATAAGCTTTAAATCCAGCAGATACTCCAGAGAGACAGTCATTTGCAGGAGAGGAGAACATATCATCTACATTTGCATACATGTGCCACCTAAACAAAAATCCTAGCGATCATGTTTACCTCAGAAAAATGAAATGTTATGCAGCTGTTGACAGTAACAGGGCCTTATTTGAACTTTTCTTATTTTGTGTTTTATTTTTTAATTGCACATTTTATTTGACTTTTAATGTTTTACTTTATGTTTTACAAAGGTATCTTTTTTATTATTATTTAATTGTATATTTGTGAAAACAATTGTAAATGTTTCATCTTTTATTTCTTTCATTCTAAAAGGGAGCAACTGTCACCAAACCCCAATCCCCCTGGGATGAATAAAGTATTCTGAGACATAAGTTGCTTTTAACATACTAGGCATACAAAGTAGTTCAACTCACACATTCTACCAACTTTAAAGTTCTTTGATGTCATTTGTTTGAGAAGCTGCGTGCTATCACTGTACCTACAATGCTAAAATGTTTTTATTGGCACAAACAAATGAATACATGAATGAACATGCAAATGTGGACACTAGGGATTTTTAAAATTAAAATATTATATTTGTTCCTGTTTGGTTGATACAAACAAACGTCCCAGGCTGCACTCATTTGAGATGTATTCATACCAGCCTTAGAACCTGCTTCATACGGGTGTGGCGTGTAGAGCTGAGAGCAGGCGGTGTGTGTACTCACTGAGCAGAGACTCCATGACCACTCTGTAGGAGCTGGCGTGTCGGTGAGCCTGCCACTGGCCACAGAAACTGTTCATCCTCACCTGGTACGCACTCAGGTTGGTCACCCCCAGATGCACTGCAGGAAGGAAGGAGACATTAATGAAGCGTTTAAAGAGAACCCATTTGAAATAGCTCTGTCTATATATGAGTTTTATAGAACTCACATAAACATTGCAATATTCTGGAATGATGTTTCTGAACACTGCATTTGTCTCAACAGCGTAAATACCTTTCTCAGTGGTGATTTTCATTGCTCGACAGAGGGGAAACTGGCTGCAACTAACAGTTCTTTGTTATGGTTGGTCTAGTAAATGGCCTGAAATAGTAAGAAATGTACTTATTGGTTTCTGGAAGTCTTAAAGTTTTGAAATGTCATGTTATGTCGGTGCATAATCCAAAGATATTCACTTTAGTGTGATATATTGACAGAAAAGCAAGGAACCTTGATACATGTGTTTGAGAGGCTGCATTTTCTGACATATTTAAATGAGAAATGAAGATATTGATCATACAATCAAAGCCTTATCCCTTTATTTAGCATCTTTGACTTTCACCGTAACCCTACATGTGACTACATTTAATTATATTACTCAAAAAAACGCTGACAAAAATAGTGTTGCGATGTACAAAAAACAAACTCCATGCTTCTTTTGAACTAAAAACTTGTAAGCATTCTTCTGAAATAATACAACTGCATATAACTCCACATCATGGGAAACCACATACTATGGTGTTCCCAGATGACTGATTGAAATAAGTCTGGCCTGGTGGCTTCAAGGACACTGACGTGAGTTTTCATGGAGTTATTTACAGAGACATAATACTTCACTGTCTTTGCTACAGAAGGGCTGATTGTGCACACTCACAAACAAACCCACACACTGTCCTTATGTAAATGCTATGCATGCACATTCACTGCTGACTGTTAAGAACGGCACTTGTTCTGAAAGACAAAGGCAGGCATGTTCCTGTGAGATGCTAGTTTCTAGTTTAGCCACATACCTCATCTGCATAGTTGGGGTTTTTGTTAAAATCTCTGCAGGTGATTTAATTAGAGGGCACAAAGGGAAAGTATACTATAACAGTAAAGTGCAAATAGTAGGGGATACAACACCAGTGTTTCCCCTATATACAAATAGCGGCGGCTGTATATATGTATATATTTTTTTTTTAATTAAAAAAATAATAAGTGCCGACCCTTTTTGATTTTGGATTGTTTGTTATGTGGATCTGTAGTATTTGTGTTACTGTATGTTCAATAAAGGTGTATTTTTGCTCAATCTTGAGACATTGCCACTGTATGTACTAGGCTTCAAGAGCCTTTCTTGTGCTGGCAGACACATAGAAACATATTGGCGGGGCGCGCACTCACTAGGGCTGGGCCCGCATGCCTTCGCACCGCTGCTATGACTCCATCTTAGGGGAAACACTGAACACTAACACAGTTGTGAGTGAGAATGCTGTGATTACGTGTCATTACATTAACTACTGTTGCCAGTTCATTTTGTAGTGGATCCAAATCACTAGGTGGATGGATACACATTGTTTTTCACAGAAACAGCCTTGGTCTGCTCTGGAGAGCGCCATTCTAGTTTCTACTGCTTTACCTTCAGGTTAATTTTGCTATTCACCTTTACAGCAGTACAGCATCTGAATTACTGCTGATGTGGGCCCAATCTCACACTCAGTTTCATCTTCACCAAGACCTCAAAACTCTTGAACGTATTCCCTCTTTGGTACCAACTAAACCAAAAGCCTAAAGAAGTAATCCATCTTTTACCAGCAGAGTGGCCTCAGACATCTCTGGTTCCACACAAGAAGTGAATGTCCTTTAGGGTAAGTGAAACTACTAGTAAATCACTTTTTATCAAACTAAATCTTTGGCACTTTTATATGCAAGATCAGATTGTGTGTCAGAGCATCACCAACTCCAAAAGGTTGGTGATGCTCTGAGTGAGCTAACTAGAGAGTAACAACGAAGCTATGTTGTGATGCAGAAGCATGAATATAACGTATCATTTCATCATCCAGCCACTATGCTGGTGTCTGTGCACAACTGTCGTTCTACGCCATGTTGTTCCATAGCAATCTGCTAATAGCAGCTTGATGAATGGAACCCACTCAATATACAACACATTTTTATAATCAAGCCACGTGAGAAATGACGAAGAACACTTGGACTGGTAGCCTAATCACACCTTCTATCTTTGTGTTACGCCCTAACAAGTGTTGTTGAATGACTTCTGGTATCATGTGGTGCTTTGAGAATAGATATTGACCATATTGATGGAAGCTTTCAGTCAAAGGTGCTCTTTGTGATGTGATGTACCCTACCCACACCTTTAGTTGATATTAAACTGGTGTTTCCCTATGATTGTTTAGGTGATAAAATCCATGAAGATAACACAAATGATCGACTCGTGGGGTTAAGCTTTAGTAAAGGTCAAACAATAAAGCTGTGTGACAGTGACGCATCAGTCCACTCATCCCGAGTGGACCACTGGCTTCATTAACATGCTGCTCAGCCACATGACACACGGTTCATCTCCAGGGATCCCACTGGCCTCACATCATTATACTCTATTCAACACCGCCCATCTCTCTTCCTCACCTGCTCAAGATTTAGTCACCTCCCTTTCCCCTCTTTCTTTGCCCAACGCCCCAAATGTGTCCTTCAAGTCAACCAAGAAGTGCTTGATTGTCATGCAGGCGGAGGAAACTCAGTGCTGCATGTTCAGGCATTTAGCTGACACTCGAGAGCCTATAGAGAGAAATACGGGTGGATGAAAGGGTGGATGTCAAGTGTCCTACTCAAGGATACTTCTAAAGGACACACGTTTTTTTTCGTTTGCTACGTCTGAAATGGAGATCGGACTGATGACCTTTCAGGGTCAAAAGCAGCTTTTACACCCACAGGCCAGCCCACGGTGAAGTGGCTGATTATCATGCAGGAGAGAGAAATCCAGGCTACGACTCGAATGCTGTACTTGAGAAGCGCTGATGGATCTAAACCTCAGAGAGCCTCGGGAGGATCCACAGCGCCGGAGAACTTTACTCTCCAGTTCACTTCGGGGCGGCGATGTAATTAGTTGAAGTTGCCATTTAAAGTGTCAGATGGAGATCAAGAGATTGATGTTTGTTGGTGTTCGGCTCCAGCCTCAATTGGATTAGAGGACAGAGGGAAGCGATAACAAGGTATATAAATGATCCGCTTTAGAAAATGCCAACCAAACAATTAAGTTAGTGGCAACAAGACCATCTGAGAGAGTCTGTGTGAACAGATTACATCATGATTGCATCAAGTTGCTTTGTATAGCTGAATCTGGCACATTAACATGATGAACTCAAGTGCTCAGTTTAATACATTTTCTTTGTCTCTTCCTAAAGAAATAAATAAACAAATATATTATTGTGTCATTATACATAGAAACTATCAACATTTCTTAAGGAACAACCGCTGAAGTACAGAGGATGCTAAATGTGTGGTTTATAGTGATGCATCTGCCATTAATTGGTTAGTTGCCATTGGTTTTCGTCCCCACCACAGCACAGAAACGGCCCCCATCAAAGTCCTCAATGACCTCCTCACCTCTGCTGACACCGGTTCCCTCAACATCCTCATCCTCCTCGACCGGAGTGCAGCCTTCGATACCGTGAGCCACACCATCCTGCTTACCCGACTCCAGGACATCGGTATCGAAGGTACTGCACTCAGGTGGCTCCAGTCCTACCTCTCCGACAGATCCCACTTCATCTCCCTCAACAACCACTCCTCTGCCACAGCTTCAGTCACCCAAGGTGTTCCCCAAGGTTCAGTACTCGGCCCCCTCCTCTTCATCATCTACATCCTCCCCGTTGGTCAGATTCTCCGCCAATACAACCTGGACTTTCACTGTTACGCCGACGACACCCAGATTTACCTCAGCACCAAATCCCCCGCCCCTCACCCACATCGAATCCTGTGTGACTGCAATAAAATCCTGGATGCAACACAACTTCCTCAAACTCAACAGCAATAAAACTGAACTCCTCCTCATCGGCTCCAAATCCACCCTCAGCAAAACCCCCAACCTGACAATCACCATTGATGGCACCCCTGTTTCCCCCTCCACCCAGGCACGCAACCTTGGTGTTATATTTGACCCCACCCTCTCCCTCGAGCCCCACATCCGTCAAGTTGTAAAAACCTCATTTTTCCACCTCCGCAATATTGCCAAACTTCAGCACTACTTCCCTCAATAGACTCCAGCGTGTCCAGAACGCAGCCGCCAGACTCCTCACCCACACCAAATCATGGCATCACATCACCCCGGTCCTCAAAGAACTCCACTGGCTCCCCGTTTCACACCGCATCCACTACAAACTCCTGGTCCTCACTTTCAAAGCCCTCCACCATCTGCCCCCCCCCCTACCTCACTGACCTCCTCATCCTCTACCAACCACCCCGGTCCCTCAGATCCACCTCAGCCGGTTTGCTTTCCATCTCCAAGGCCAAACTACGGAGCTTCGGGGATAGAGCCTTCTCTGTGGCAGCCCCGAAGCTCTGGAACTCCCTCCCCCAATACCTCCGTGAGTCTGAGTCCCTCACCCTGTTCCAGTCCCGCCTCAAAACCCACCTCTTCAACTCTGTATCCATAAGCCCCCCCCCCCCCTCTCAATCAACTTCCTCCTGACTGCTTTTCTGTTTTGCTTTGTTTCTTTTTGGCTTTGTTTTTGTTTTGTTTGTCTACCCTCCCTCCCAAATGTAAAGCGTCTTTGGGTTCAAGAAAAGCGCTATAGAAATAAAATATATTATTATTATTATGCCAATGAAAACACTATGTAAACGATAGCATCTGAATGGTGAACCACGATCCGTTATTCATAGAAAACAGAGACATAAAGTAGGCCTCTGGCACTAACAAGCCAGCCACTTAAAAAACTCAAATTAAAGATTTGAATAATAGTTTCTGGTTACAGAAAAATAAAGGGACTGTATCTTATAAGTAGGTGGGACTGCTGCTCAGAGCATCAGATCCGTACGAAGGCATTCATGTTGATGGTGGTTTGAATTGTTGAAAAAGAAGACTCTCCAAAACTCAGCTGGAATTTTAATTGAGGAAGAATTAAAATAAAAAGCTAAATAGAATTAAAGCTTAAACAAGCACCTTACAGCTAGGGACATTTTTTTTTCTTCATTTTTTGTTACAGGACTGATGCTATTTGTAGTTCATCTTAATTGAATATTAGTGCGAACTACTGTATGGGGAAACACTTTTAAGTTTTCAAACCGGGATGAAGTTTCATAAGATTAAATATAATGTTTGAGATGAACTAAATCTGTGTACTTTTTCTTAACATATATACATATAAAATGACAGTTTGTATGTGGCCTTATTAGTCGTGCAGGTCGTACGCCTTACAAGAGGAAAGTCACATTTGTGTTGTGTGTGTATTCTGAATTTGAATGCTTGATCATATTGGGGGGAGAATTGGTCTAAATCTTTCAAATTGTATCAAAATACAGTATAGTAGGAGGAATAATATATTTATAAAATATTGTTTACTATACTGCCTCCTTTATTCGGTTACCATAAACATGCCTTATTGTTATGTAGTTATCATGATACGAAATTAGCTAAATTCGGGTAACAGTTTTGGCCATATTGCTCAATTTGATAACACACAGGATGAAAATGGTAGAGTACGAGTACAGAGTTTTAATGATTCACAGCATCAATGGGTTTTTGAAAATGATTCTAAGAAGTTAATACATTATTTAGGGATAACATGAAAGCAGAGGAGTAGATTAGTGCATCGGAAAGATTTCTGTACGTTTCTGCTTTTGACTTACAGGTCTTGGCCCGCCCTGAAAGGGCCTCACTGGATCCTGTGGTGAAGGAGGCGATGACCTTCACGCTGTACTCCGTCCCACTCAGCAGGTTGACGATCAGTATGGTGTTCACGTCCTCCCCCACGAACGTCTCCAGAGCGGGGCCCGGAGCTGCACAGAGGGCGGGGGGGGCACAGAGGGGCAAACGGCCAGTGAGTGGAAGGAGTTCAAAGACCATCATTAGATTCAATTCCAGGGAGCAGGGCAGGATGGAAGATAACTGAAGCGCAAAGGGGACAAAGGCAAGACAAAGCAGTAGCAAGTGGTAGAGAAACAGGAGAGTGTGGAAGAAACCTGCAGGGAGATGTGTCTGTGTATTCTGTAGTTATGTTATTTTATCAGAGGAAGCTTTCTATCAAGTATGATTACTTGGTTTCTAAATCAAATAAATCATATGATAGCTGAAACCGTTTACGTTTCCTTTACGTTTCCATACGCTTGTATCAAGCTCTTTTAGTCATTTCTGATTAGAATACATCCTCAATCATGGATGTATAAAGAGTACTGGATACATTATCGGAGGTGGGGTCCTGTTGCTCAGCTTTTTAAGTCCAATTAAAAAAATGTCTCTTTCCAAAATGCAACTCAGTATAGGTAAATACATCAAGTGACTGACACACGTTTTAGAACCACCATCCAGTCACTACGGAAATGAACAGCTGACTCACTTCCTTGGTGCTTGTTCTCAATATGAAAGAGTTCCTTCTATCATATACAGTGTTTATGTTAACGTTTCACCCCTAAGCATGACTACGGAAATGATTCAGCTTTTCCTTTAAAGAATAATGTAGCTATATGCTAATGAGTAATGAAAGTATATGTCGTACATTTTGGAAATAGATTTGGCTTTTTTTCTTTTGGAATCCTGGAAGTCTAATCTTAGCTCAAATAATGATTCTTTAATATAAGTGTAGCCAAAATGCAGGATATCAATGCTCCAAATGAATCCCAATGAATTCACAATTTGTTGTTGAAATGTTCAATGAATTGCCACAGCGTGTGCATGTGTTTGTGAGTTACCAGATATGGGCTGGTAGACGATCCTGTAGCCCATGGTGGGGGAAGGGGGGACATCCCAGCTGATCCTGAAGCGGTTGTACCATTCCTCCGACACACGCAGGTTCTTAGGAGCCGAGAGGGGAACTGAGGACAAATAACAGCAGGTTTTAGTTTGGCTCAAAAATGTTCAAAGTCAATATCTGAAATAAAATAGGAGGATTCCCGGTTTCCATCATATACATATTTGCAAAATACAGTGATTCAACAAGATGTTATTCCACATGTACCCTATAAAAAAAGTCCAAGCCATTATGGTTATTATAAAGAGACATGAAAAAAAGAAATCCATGTCGTTTAGAACCAGGGAAAGAAAGAATGAAATGGGGAAAAAAGGAGATGGACGCGACAAAAAGAACACATTAAAGTGATGAAGATCAAAAGAGACGAGAGCATAAAAAAAGAAAAACTGAGCAATATGAAGAGAAGAAGGCTTAAGAAAAAGGAAATGAATTTATTGTTATTTCCATAACAAAATGAACATGGTTTAAAGTCAATCCAATTAAATCAAACCAAATCTATTAATGTTATACTTTCCAAAGATGTAATTCTCTGTGTGTCGGAATGATTAAAGGAAACCGTGGTGACACAGCATGAGGAGAGGGAGAAGCTGGGAGGAAGATAACGAGGAAGAGTAGGAAGGATAACATATGATAACACTTAATACAATTCCCACAGTCAGCACAGAGTGAATACTACATTGAAAGCACATTTCACTGACAGGGAGAACAGTTTGGAGAACTCAACTAATGGCAGGATGGCATTTATAGTATATAGGTGTTTTATTTGAGGAATCTAAGCACACCCACATTTGTAACCTCCTGCAGTCCCTCCTGAACTTTTATAAATGTGAATCTTGTGAAGATCCCTTCTGTTAAAGGGAAACCTGAGACTTTTTTCAGATCTCAGTCCCCCGTTTAAAATGAGAAAAAGCTCCCATCATGCCTCCCCGAGTATCCATCGATATCTCCGTTTCACAATCTGATACAGATTATACTGGCTCTTCTGCCTCAATGTATCCGTGCACCTTCTGTTGCCGTTCTCCATTAAAAAGCCAATCATGCTGTTCAGTTCAGCCACAGTCCCCCCCCAGTGTGTTCTGTGCCCTTATGTGTTCAAACCCCCACGAGACACTGGCCTCTTCTGTTGCATTATCTTCCCTCCTGATGCCCTCTCTGGTCCGGGCAATAATCCCATCACCCTGTAAACTCTTTCTGACATTCCTGTCACTACGGTGTCTTCACCCTTCAGGCCAAGGAGTAATGAGAAACTGGAGATGTAATGGCCCCACCATTTATGACCAAAGACACTCTTCCAGAGCGCCCCGGAACATTCTTAAGAACTTGGGAACCAATTGTGCTTTCTGAGTTCACAAAGTTTGTTTCATTTGTTGTTCAGGGTCTAATTTCCAGCATCCCCTGTGGAAGAATCTTACATTTATGTAAAGCTTAAAGTCCTGCAGACAACTCGTACATGTTTAAATAATAGCTACTTTCGTCCCGATATGCTTGGTTTGCTGTGTACTTGTCTTATTTTGTCTGATTTTGCATCTATGTTTTATCAAATGTAATAGATAACAGTTCAGTTGTCACAGTCTGAATAGAGTAGTGCATGAATACGCCCTAAAACATTATATATATATATATCAGGGTATATGCAGGAATCCTGAAGTCAAATGTAATACCTTTTAAGACCTTTTTTAAGACCCTTTCCATACCTTTTAAGATCTCATCGCAACTTTGAGCGACACACGTTACCTCACATTGACTATATTGATTGTAAGATAGCACAACTAAACAGCTTGTGATAACTCCTTATCATAATTCAGATAGAACAAAGCACAAGAGAATGAATTGTGTGACCAACCCAATGCATTGATTCAGGCATTGTTCCCAAGAGATAAAACAGACAGACTACTGAAGCCTCCTCTCCACACGAACTTCAACCTCTCTGTGAAGGTCAGGTTTAATGCAGTATGCTGCTTTTTGCTTCTGTAGACTGTGCTCTTTCATTCCAGTAAGCCCCGGCACATAGGACGATGCTCTGACATCATCACCCTCGCACATTTTTCATATGTTTACAGAAAACGATATATATGTTAAGATTTTTCTCGTTCTTAATATAGACTATATTTAGGGTCGATATGTGTTGACTTTACTTTAAAATAGCAGATCACTGTGACCGGATATAGTTTGGCTTAGTCAACGTGTGTCTCTTCCTTGGAGGAGCAGCATCGGCCGGACTCCGCGGCTCCTCCGCGGCTCCTCCATGCAGAGAGTCTGCACTGCAGCGGTGTGTGTCAGCGACGTGCATTCAGGGGAGGCACGGATTGGCCATCGGGAGAGTCGGGACATAAACGCTGCGGCTTTCTGGCTATTACTTAGCATGTGGGACCGGACAGCTTTGATCCCCATTGACAGTAGCGATTCTAGAGTCTGTGGGGGCCCCTCGAACCAGCTTTCATCACCATCAGAGGCGCCCCAACACACTCTCTCTTCCCCCCCCCCCCCCCCCCCTTAAGAAGCAGCATTTTACGGCGCGCTATGCATGGGGCCGCCTTGAGGGGGTTTCCCGACATGTCGTTACAGTAAATGAAAGGGTGTTTCATGTTGTCGTTGCTGTGGACCTTCTTAATACCTTGGACAAAGTTTAATACTTTGTAATAGCCTTAATTATCGCAAAATGTATTTATCAACTTTTAAACTTTTTAAGACCCCGCGGACACCCTGTATATACTATAAACTTTACTATATGTTTTTAATATGATATATTTCTGTTCAGGCCATATATTGCCCAAAATACAATCGTGAATGTTGTCTCATTGGTTCGATCCCCACATTGTTTTGTTATACTTCTCCTATTGTTCCATATTTAGATTTCCTTACATATTGTTCCTTGTTCCCAAACAGTTTCCAGTGATGTGGTTTATAAATGATTGCTTTCTTCAAGAAGACAGACCTAGTTTAATGTCATTGTCGTCCAGGTAGTTAACAGCACTATGTGTTCAGGTAAAGTGTGAACCTAAAATGGTAATCCCTCAAAAATATTGTGCGTCTGATCAGAGTAAACATTTGAGTTAGTATGTGCTTTTTAATAAGGATTTAATGATGGAATTGTGTATCACTATATATGTTAGGGAATCATTTGCTTAGGTATTCAACCTTCGACACAGTTCATCATTTTCCCCTCTCACTGTCTCCTTTCCCATGGCATAGTTCTACGGCCTTGGGTATTGCTGCTATCTCTCTTAAGGAGGGGCAGCTTGGGCGCATTGTTGTTGCCAGTCTATGACAGAGCACAAGCCGCCATGAGGTAATTTACTGTTCAGGGACGAAGGTTCCCTGGCGCGCATTATTTCCTATGGACGAGAGCTCTAGTTAGATTCAGGGTCCATATTTGTTTAGTCTCACTGATGAAGAATGTTGATTATTACACTCCGAACTAGTTAAAACCTCGAGCTGCAGAAAGAGTTCCTCAGAATTGGTTTAGCAACCGCTGTGTCAACTCGTGACACACCACCAATTCTCCGGCTGAAACTCCAAATAAACCGTCAGTGTTTGCCATCAAAGCTCCAGCTCTCCTCGTGTCTCTCTGAGTCCTGACTCTCCATTGCTACAGAAGTTTCCCCCACAATATATATATCTCAAGATATGATTTTGTCACTATGCGATTCCATTCAATGCCCATAAATTGTCATGTTGAATTATCACTCAGATGTAATGCATTTCAATCCTCCTCTCCATTTCAATCGATTGTATTACAATGCAAAGACAGATCCTCAGTTGTACACATCATCTTATTGTCCATTGTTTCAAATCTCAAGAGAGCACTTGTCACACTATCTTTCTCACTTTTGAAGCTATGAAAATCAATCATGTTCTGGTTGTCTTACCTCCCTCAGTGAGTAACTAATCCCTTGTAATTTAAATGCGCAGTTTGTTCTGTCACATTCTGTGTTTCTCTTTGTTTCACTGATACATCTCTGTATGTGGGGGGCACTCCTCTCTTAGTGATCCCTCAGTGGATCAAATCATCAGATTGTTCTGCCTCCACATTATCTATCTTTAGTTTGAGGCTGAAACCCCAATCATCCCCTCTGCATTCACTGTCATGCCTCCCTCAGCGCTCCTCCCAGCCCTCATATGTTCAGATCCCCAGATTACAGCGGCTTCCATTGTCACATCATCTATCTTCACTCTGAGAAACCCAATCATCGGCCTCTTTCTGCATTCCCTGTCGCTCCTCCCCGGGCGATCCTCTCATCCCTCACTCCTAACGGGAACCATTCATCATCAGCGGGTTTCGAGAGCCCCGTCGCTTAAGAACCGCCAAACGTCGTTAGCGCCTGCTAATGTGTGTGATGCCCTGCGCGGGGAGGCGTGATGGGACGAGGCGCAAAGACGAATGCCTTGAATTTAGGGTTTGCTGAGAGTCGAGTGTTTGTTCTGTAATGCGCATCCACAGCAGCGATCAGTCACATTTAACAAAAGGGAAGAGAACGCTTCCCACGTTTATCTGCCTTCAGCACCGAGAAGAAAATAGATGTTGCACATTGAGCACCCAGGACAGGTTGCTATCCATTTTACCTCCCCTGAATTTGTGGTGAGTGTAATGAGCTGCATAGAGACAGAGGGGGGGGGAACAAAGTGCCCCTCTCTGCTGAGAACTGCTGAGTTTGAATAGTAGCTCAGAGAGGTGCTGCTAAGATACAACACGTGTTTCAGGGTTTAACATTGTTGTATTATAAATCATTTGTCTTAAGTAGAAAGAGTTGTAACATTTGTATTGACTTGATTTAATGTGATGTTGTCTTTATATTATCGTCTTTATACTGTTGTCAGAAATTGCAACTAAATTATTTCTAGTCTAGGCCATTTTACTTTATTTTACTCTCTATTTTATTACATCAACTAAATGCACGTGTTTCACTGCTGTGTAGCTTCTATTCTTGTGTTCCATAGCTGTCTTAATGTATTTCAACTTTAATTTGAGTTTCCTCTTGGCTTTTTTAATGAAAGATTTAGGCTTGACGTTTTTTTATTATTTGTTAAACACGTTTTTGGAGTGGTTTGCACCACTCTAACATTCCTAACAGACTATACATTCCCAAGGTGGGAAGCTCTCATAATTCAAACATTAGCCACCTTAGATCAACATAAAAATGTATTTGAATTGACTATTTAAGAATGTATTTTCCCTTAAATTAGGACAATTAACATCATAGTGAGGTCTTTAATTAGGTGTATTTTCTGATAGTATTTATCCTTTTCATAATTTTTTCATTATTATATTTCCCTCAGGAGTTTCAAGAGACATGGGAAGCACAGCATATATGTTTTTAGCCGATATCGATAACTGATATTACCTGCTGCGTGTGGCCAATACTGATTAGGGTTAGGGTACAATTGGCAAATATGAAGGATGGAAAAATGGATGATTTATGATCCATAGCTTGGACCTCACCTAACCAAGGCTAACTGTTTTTAACACAACACAAAACTTAAATGGCAAATTAAACTTGCTGTCTTCCTTTGAAACTGTGAAAGACATCCACACCATCGTGATGTTCTTCTTCTTTTGTGTTTTTATTGGCAGATTGCAAACCAACTCTAAGGAGCTTACCATTATACTGTATCAGAGTTTAGACGCTTAGTTTTTAAAACAATGAAAGAATAATTAGTCTTTGTATGTTGGCTGATAATTAACCGTCAGTAATTACAGTAACACATTAATTTAGTACACAATAATAAACATTTCCCATTATCTGCCAGTCATTTAGCAGTCTGATATATTTAACTAATTCCTCACAGAGACTTATCTAAAAGAGAGTGAAAATCCATCCATCAGGTGGACAAACACTATTCCACATGAATGAAATGATATGGGACTCTGCGGGATGACCACAAATGTGCAACTTTTCACTAACTGAGTTTAAACCATCAAGTTAATGGGGGAAGATATGTCCAAGATGTGTTCATAACATGTCTTCACTGTCCCAAGGTGAACAGAAAAGTCTGTTATTGGTGGTTTAAACACAAGAGAAAAATGCATATGAACTTACGTGTTCGTCCCATCCGCGCCGCTGCTGGTCCCTCTCCTTCAGGGTATACAGGAGTGATGGCGATTTTGTACTCTGTGTCTGACAGCAGAGGCTGCAAAACCAGGCTGGTCTGACCTGTGGGCACCGTCCTCTGTAAGCACAAAGAAATTCACGTTAAGTTAAAAAATAACATACATGTGTTCCCGCTGTGGTTCACGTTCAGCGGGTAGCACACCCAGCTCCTCCCGTCCACATGCCAAAGTGTCGTAGTGTCAAAAGTCTAAACCCCAAATTGCTCCCGATGGTAATGACACTATATGCTAACTACGTTATCTGATAACTACCCAGTTCTCTTTGTTTTGCTCATCAAAGCGAAACATGGATCAAATCACAGTGTCAAGTGGATATGTCATGATATAATAAGTAATTGGATGTTTGCTTTCTTTAAACTTTAGCTTCCACAGAGTTTGCCCTGTCCCAGCTAGCAAGCTAACCTGCTACTCAGCCGGGGGTGGGTGCTCGGCCTCCCTGCTCGGGTACAGCCTGCGGCGACAGGCAGCCAACACACAGTACCTCAACTTGACCCTGGCTGGTGCTGCGACCTCCTACTCATCATTGGGAATACAATCACTGGATTGCACTGGTAATTGACTGTTGCTGAACTCCTTTCACCACGATGTTTAACAAACTCATGCTATGGACCGCTCTGTTTTCAGCCTCGCCCGTCTGTGTGTGGACGGGTGAATTCTTTCTAGTAAAGCAGTTTGAGGGGTCTCAAAGACTGGACAAGCACTATATTAATGTGGTCCATTTAGCATTTAATTAATGTTACATTTCAAACATTCTCGAGATCAAACGGCGCCAGGTGAAATGCTAATGGCAGACAGTATGACTGTTCCCCATCCTGCAGGAGAAACACATTATTCCTTTTAATAAGGAAAAAGCATATGGAAAATAAATCATTTTGACAAAGATATGTTTTTTAACATGGTTTTATAAGACAGGACTTGCAATGAACATATGGCCTAGATCACAAAAACATACCTGTATATGTTTTGAATGTAACACCGAAAAGGTTATGGAAGATAATTGTTTTTGTCATGATATTACATTTTTTATTTTCTGTTTTAATTTGAAAAGCGTTTTCTCCCGCTGTGTTGTGTCTGTTTTAATTCTTGTCTTTGTGTGTTTTCCCGCCTGTTTTGAATGTCCTGGCCTTATTAGTTCAACGTGTTCCCCTTTAGCCCTGCAACCACTTGGCCTTCTGTAAACCTGCATGTAATCCCCTCATTAGCTCTGCTTGTAGTCCTGTTTTTGCTCTGTCTTTGTTGGATTCTTGTTTGTCGTACATCTTAAAGTTATGTGTTTTGCCATGACTTATCTGTCATTTGCATTTTCGTCCACCCTGCTCTGGTTTCTGTGACAGATTTCGGTGTAATACCCAATCAATATCCTCCTTATTAGACTTCCTTTAGGACAGATTCTTCAATGAACTAAAAAAAGCAAATTAAGATTTTAAAAAGCGGCAAAACATGTGTATTCGCCTTTTAATGGAGCTGAGGCGCTGCGAGCTGCTGAAATCAGGCTTTCAGGCTGTAGGGGCTGTAGAGGTTAATTGTATCCAGGTTTTCTCCTTACCTGTCTTTGAGCCTGGCCTTTTGTTAAACCTAATCCCTAAGTGAGTCATCCGTCCAGGTGAAGGCATGCTGGAGACAAAACTTGCTTTTTACCCTTTAGCTTCTGCTGTTACTTTGTCTCTCAATATCTTCTTCTCTCTATCTGCTGCTGTTAATAACTCCTTGACTAATATCATTGTTGCCATGTATCTTTACAAAATCAGTACCATTCAGTATAGTTAAACAATATGCCATGATGATATAGTCAGTTGAAGACTGTCATTTTTCGTGGTGTCAGATTTATTGTAATATAAACGAACCCTGATTAATCAGTCGAAGACACTTTCAAACATTTCAGAATTCTGCATATTGTGGTTTTTATCTTCAAGTCTTGGAAGTCCGGAGAGTTTGTTAAGTGCTGATTTTACCTCCAGATAAACACTGCTATGGTTGTTTGATCTATGTAGAATATATTGTCTGTGTTACAAGTTGACTTTTTTAGTGTGCATGTAGAAAACCTCAGTCGTTTCATTCCTCTGTTTCTCTCTTTGTCTCGGTCGGTCTGTCTGTTAGCCCAGTTTGCATTCTGATCATGTACAGTCTAGCCCGGCTCCGTCCACAAACCATCAACTTCGCCCCCAAAAAATACACTTTTTCAGACGTGTCAGTAAGACAAACACTGCAGGCCTTGACAAATCAATTTCAGCCCAGCATGATGAAAAAGGCGGCAAGTCTCTAAACTGTCACCAAGCCACACAGTTGGGAGAAACCAGCCCAAAGCTAAACTGCTTCTACTCCACTTTGTAAATGCAAACATGGCTACATTAAGTATTTATAGGATTCAGACCCAATCTAGTTTTAACAAAGGCTATGTGCAGGCCCAGAATATTAAGTATGATCCATGTGAGACCTTGCCTGAGCTACAATGCTTGGAGGCAAACTGCATGGGGTACACAGGTGATGGGAGTCAATTTAAGGTCACCACTGGAAATTGATATGACAATACATTCGCTAAACTGCACACAACTTTGCCTCAACAAATCGGCCAAAATAAGGGATAAACAAGTTTAACACTAAGTGTAACACATTTAAATAAAAACAGGATGAATCATAGCTCATGTGAAACAATTTCTACTTCAATTTAATCTATTACAAAGTCAAGAGGGTACAGCATTCTGGGCCAATAGCTGCAATGAGTAGATGATAAGAATCCTACCCTGACTAAATACTAGAACAGATTCTGCTAACTCTACAGGGACCCCAAGGGGCTTCCCAGTGGGACTCCGTTCAGTACAAATATCTAGCCAGGTAGCCAGGTCCTAAGAGTGTCAACCTCTGTTGATTCAAAGACAGGGGCCCTAAGGTGATGACTAGAGTGGTGTAAAGTTGCTTTCACTTGACCAGGGGTAAAGTGGCTCTGTGCTTGCTGTGCCGTTGTGTTTCTATGGAGACAGCGCAGCAGCCCAGCTAAGAAGACACGCTACCCTTGCCGTCGCGCTCTGCCCTATATTGTAAACCTGCATTCTTTATGAAGTTTAAATGTATAGAAATATATTGGAAAATGACCGTAATTCTCAATAGATGTATTGATCCGGAGTTTCCGTTATACATTTTTGTTGCCGGTCAACATGTCCGTTAAAGTTTAAATCTTCCGGACAAAATGAGAAAAGTGCCGGTCAGAGGTCTTCTTTGTTATGTATTGAGCTTTAAACTAATTGATAACGACTCTATATTAACCAAACTAATGATAGTAGATTCTCTCTCTCTCTCTCTGATTATACTTGACTCGCGTTTATGATATGACTGCCGGCGTATCAAAGGACACCTAAACCATAAGCGGTGCTTATGGTTGAGGTGACTCGCAGTGGCTCATTATCAGTCAGGACCTTTAGATTGGTGAAAAAGCAGGAACTATAAGAAGAGACTGAATTAAATCCGGAAACAAACTGGTCACAAAATCGACTGTGAAGGGGTCAATGGACACAGAGCAGAAGTGTGGATGAAAAACTTTGTTTGTTTTCCTTTCCAGTTTCTATAAACTCTAAAAACCTAAAAAGTTGTAATCCTCCCATGACAATATGTTTGCCTTCGGGAACAACATGTTGGTGCAGGGCGATAATAGCCGAAATTCTGTTTACACACTGCCGAATTGCATTTCATGCCCTGCAGCTTAGGTTTATAGGACACTGAATGAAGCTGCTCAGGGAAATAACACTGAGTTCAAAATCACAGATGTGTGTGGACAGATGGCTGCAGAGTGGAGCCGCCTCACGGCAACGACTGGTAAGATAGGGACAGAGCCATATGAATGGAAATTCAATATTTATATGCATGTAAAGAGCTGAGCATCGAGGAATTCTCAACTTAGTGACAGACTTTAGTGCAATTAGTTAAGTGCCCTAAAGCTGCCGGTATCTTATTTTAACCATTTGGGGGCAGCAGCAATCCAACACAAGATGACTTACAAAGATGATTATGTTTCACAAATAACTAGCTTTTCACGTCCAGCAGACGCAGAGCAACATCATCATTTCTTTGGAGTAGTGTTATACTCTATATTTAACACAGTATTTTGGTCTCTACCAACTCCTGAGATACATGTCTACATACAACCTTTGTTAGTTAGCTGGTCTCTAACTGTGTCTGCCAGCTGTTTGCTGCTGAGCAGGTAATGTACAGTGGCTTTATAAGAAAACAAATTCAAAATAAATGAAATACTATAAAAAGCTGCGTAAATCTGAGATGTCAACTTTTCTTAGGGGTTTTCACTAAGAGAGACTCCTAACATTCATTTACAAATATTGATTAGTAAGCCTTAAGATAATTCCAGGTGTGAAGATTATCTGGCACAAGGTAAAGATTCTGATACATCCTTTCTTTGAGTCCTGCTCAACAAAGTGTGTTTATAATATGTGCTGCATCCTTAAAACAGGCTTCTACGACAAAAACATAAACCAGTGAAAAGGACATGTGCGTCATCGGGAGAAGTCAGTCACAGCCAGCAAAGTGAGTTGTTAGGCAGTGATGGAAATTCAAACCAAATGACTGAGGTTTTCAGGTAAAAGTGATTTGAGAGTCTCACAAAACAATGTGGAGCTGCATGTCTAAGTGGATACAATCAGTGAACAGACGACGAAGCACAAACTACTGGGTAGACTTGGCAACGACAACAACAATTTTCACTCTCCAGACTGCTCATTCAAAGGAAAAACATTTAACGGTAAAAAGAAGTAACGTTTTGGACTTTGTAAAACTTGAACCATCAAAACTTGTTGTCCTCAACATTTCTATCAGAGAAGAATACGTTTCCATCCCGCTCTTAAATAAGGCAAGAGATGAAAATTGAACACCATATTGGTCTGGTTTTAATATATATTGGATACCATTACGGCAATTAAGGTTTTGAAAACCTAGAATGTTGAAATGGTGAGAGTACCAACACATTGTATGTAGATGTTGGATACTCACTGTTTTTCTTTGTCTATAGGGATCAAATAAGATAGTAGGAAGCCAAGAGAAGCAAGACTTTAGGCTGTGAGGCTGTGTTAAACACTTCTTATGCATGTTTTTAACCGCTCAACTGATCTAATCATGTTTGAAAGCACTTTCGATAAAATTGCTGCATAAAAACTGTGAGTTAATTACATTTAATATAATTTGTTCATAACTCCTGAGCCAACATTCCACCCACATTTGCGTAAAAGTTATGAACAGTTTGAGACCAAATACCATCAGTAAAGCTAAAGTGGGATAACTGCCATCCAGAAATAATCGTATGTAAATGAGAAGTTTATTTAGCTTTTTAATGGCTGGTGTCCCTCCCTTGGCAGCTCCAAACCAGAGTGAAACTTGCTTTGGAAAAGAAGCCTGTCAGTTAGTTTTTTTCACCTCAGCTGATAGACATCTAAATGGTAGCTATTGAGTGCAGCACTTGGTGATTCATGACCTGACCGGATTGCCAAACAGAGCCCACAGCTGTTCGTACTTTGATAAGAGATCTCATTTAACAGGCCACTGGTGTGAGCAGCTGGCGGCTCTTTATTGTCAGGATGAAAAGGCTGATGTGGGACCTGTGGCCAGCGTCACCCGCGGACACACAGTGCCTACCAGTGTGGTGACAGCACAGAATCACACACACAAATACACAACTGCCAAATCAGACTTTCTCCAATACATATTGGAGAAAGTCTGATTTGGCAGTTGTGTATTTGACATATAACAGGACATTCCCCACTAATACACCCTACTACTGAGCAATATAACAAAATACAAGGGTGCATTTTTCATATATACACTGATGAGGTATTGATTACAACATAAGAGTTAAAATACTACATACTGCGTTTTTTTGTGCTCATTTGTCAAGCTAATGTTAAGTGTACCTTCTTGGTAATGTTTTCACTAGCAAAATACAAGCTGAGTATCTATAGATGTGTTAGTTGGCCAATTTTGCCAGATCACTGGATCGTGATTCAGGATAATAACTTTTTTAGCCAATGATTGATTATGTATCGGTACAAACCAAATTATTCACCACTAGTTAGCAAAGAGAAATGCAAGGCAGGGGAGGCCAATTATCAGTTGCCGTGACTTAAGTTAGCGGTTAGCAACAAGCGTTTAGCAACAAGCGGTTAGCAACAAGCGTTTAGCAAGCTGTAGATACGCTGCATGGATCCGGGGTTTGTTGCTTTATAACAGTCAGCAAATATAGTGATTTGCAAACAGCAAGCTTGACAATTTAGCAGCAAGATCCCTGCTGGAAAAAAAAGCATAGAGCAGTGTGGATGTCTTGCTGGTCTGTGCTGTTTTTCTTCAGCAGGGATTAGATGGGGAACCTTCATGACTACAAAAGAGCAGCGCAAAATCAAGGTCATACTTTATATTTCGATTGTGGATTCTCTGAATTGAAGGTTGCAGATTGTTCATAGTGGCTATGGTCAGAATAAAATGTAAGAACAATACAGATATCTTTTAAAAGAAAATTAAAATAAGATTCTAATTTATTGTCTAGCATTATTTTTTGCTGAACAGGAAACTTTTGGAAATCATTCTGAATATGTTTTTATTAGGGCCGGGACTTTAACGCGTTAATTAAGATTAATTAATTACACAAAAATTAACGCGTTAAAAAAATTAACGCATTTTAATCGCACTTATTTTTGCACCGCGGAACGTTTCTCACTGGATGAGTTTCAGGCGTACCGATTATACTGGAGCACCAACTAACGTTCATGACTTCAGACAACAACAAACCACAGTGAACAACAGTGGGAAATGTTGTTTTAAAAAACGGACGGATGGAAGCGTTGATAAGAGCACGGTTGTGTGCAAATTATGCAAAAAGGAATTCGCATATCACCGCAGCACATCAAGCCTCAAGTATCACCTCAATGCAAAAACATATAGCAGCTAGCGTGGAAGCTAGCGTGGACGTTAGCCTCTTTTATCGCGTTCACACCATACAGTCTATGGTTCACACCAAAAAGAGCCGGTACTAAAATTAGTTCATGAGAACCTTTTTACCCCCACGAGAGTCCCTGCTAGAGAGCAGAGAGCTGCTAGAGAGCAGGGACTTTCGTACGGCTCTCTTGTGAGAAAAGAGCTATATTTCTGATTGGCTGGGCGGATTGCAAACCACGCCCCGTAAAACTCCCAAAAAGTTTGGTGAAGCCGCCATTTTATTATCCTCGCATTAGCATTATTAGCATTAGCATTAGCCCAGCGCAGAAACGCAGAGAGACTAACTTATGGCAACACAAAATAAAACATGGGAGCGGTGGAGATGAGGAGGTCTCGGCGTTCTGACGATTTACTCGGAGGGCTTCAGTAGAAGCTGCTGGGACTCCCAGCAGCTTCTACTGAAGCCAGTCCCCAACTCCGGGGACTTCCGGCCGGGGGACTTTGGGCGGCAGTATACGCCGTGAAGTGGTTTGCGGCCCTGCCAGTAAACCCAAAGCAGAAGAAGAAGAAGAAGTGACGTCAGTGGCTTCATTTGTTCTCATGAACTAAGTTCTCATGAACCTTTGTGGGAAAAGTACTGCGGTGTGAATGCGCCTAATGGTATACTAAAATCCATGTGAAAAAAATTGCTTCTCACTGTTCTCAGGTCAAATATTTATATGTGATTAAAAATGCGATTAATTTCGATTAATTAATTACAAAGCCTCTAATTAATTAGATTATTTTTTTTAATCGAGTCCCGGCCCTAGTTTTTATATATGCACACATTCATTTTTATTCATTAGATTGTCTATGCTGTAATTGTATTATGTTGTATATTCTGTACACAACAAAATGTCACATGTGTCCATCTGGGAAAAGGATTCCTCCACTGTTGCGTAACAGATGAAAAAAATGTCGATCACCAACAAGATGTCATTTAGTCTCGTCTTTTTTGGAGGATGCTTGTGAGATAACGGAGTGCGATTATGAGAGCAAGCGAAAGGATGCTAAGTGCTAACTGCAGTAAACTTAATTGTCAGAGGTGTTAATCAAACCATGATTTCATTTTACATGGTGAAGGTACAATACACTCATATCAACATTCTATTTAGCATCTTAATGATTGCCTGTCAACCATTCAGCAGTGTCAACACACAAAGTACATTCCATCTTTGCGTCAGTGTTGGTTTCCAATACAAATCTTTTCTTCACTCTCTCTGCCTCTTTGTTGTGGCTCATTAGTGTGAAAACCTGCCATTCTGTCTCTTTATCACTCTTTCTCTCTCATGAAACTCTTTTGAGGATCTGCCACTGTTTTCATCATCATTCTCGTCCTCTCTCTTCCTATCGACTCCCTTCTGAAGGCCTGCCATGAACACAGTCTCTGTGTCCCTCCCTCTTTCGTCCAGGGAATTTTCAATTGGAAGGCCTGCCATCGTCTTCCTCCATAATCTACATTCTTCCTATGAAGGCTGATTACAAGAGTTCGATTTGCAGTTGAATCAGGCTCCTTATAGCCACCTTTTGAGTTCACCCCAGTACAAAATGTTGTGTACTACGCTGTAACAAGATAAATGGTTCTGAGATGCATTGCAACCGAAAACCCCAGGAAGTGCGACGGACAATGAAGCACATTTCTTTAGTGGCCTAACGGTGGTACTACAACTTCCGTGTCAGTCCGTGACTTCATTGGGACCAAAAATACTTTTTCTCATTGAGTACTTGGAAAAAAGATGAATGTACATTGTTTTTAACTAAAGGACCAGTACCAACACTTTTATAGCACTTTTATAAATCACTAGGGTCTAAGAGTTGTAACATGTGCTAAAAGTAGAATCAAGAGTTTCCTCTCCATTCATTTGACTGAGCCGAGATTGGCCGTGAAGCTGCGTATTGGAGACAGGGCTTAAGCTAAACTCAAATGTTCAAGCTTCCAACTCTGTATTCAGTTCTACAGTATGTATACATCCATGACTACAACTGATTGCATTTGTATTTAGGGGTTTTGTTTAAAGGACACATATAACACTTAGAAAGTCCATCAATTATTTAACACAACTTAATAAGAATATTGCCAGCACGTCTCAGATAAATATAACAAGACTGACTAATCAATTATCCTCATCTAATCTGAAAACACTCTGCAAAAGAGGATGAAGATTAGATAAAACATATCTTAAAAATCACCTCATGTCAAAAACACTTTAAATCCACATTTCCTAAGGCAGGGGTTTTCAAAGTGTGGGAAGGTGAGCCTCCCCTCAGAGAACATAAGAACAGCCGCGCCCCCCTTCCCAATTATTATTGCTATTATTATTGTTGTTGTTGCTATAATGCAGGGGCATTCCATTTTATTTCGAAGAGGTCCAGTAAGAGAAAATGTCATTAAATGCTCTGTTTTCGCTGTCTACCTTTCTCTTTTTGGAGCACGCCATTTGAAATGACTCCGACTGTTTCTCTCTTCTTCTCTCGTCTCTGTGTGTGTGTTTGAATCTATCGTGCTGACTCACTGACCTGCACCAATTTGATTGGCTGAAACGAGCCGGCCGTCAACGGCCCGCTGACGACCGGCCATTATGTGATTCTCCAGAACACACAGATGGCCAGTCCGTCCCTGGGTGGAGGTGAAGGGAATGAGCACTTTTACAGCCTTTTTGGCGAGGTGGGGGAACTCAGTCTCCACAGACAGCCAAAAGTGTGCAAGTGACACTTTACTCGTCTTTTACTCGTTATTTCTTTCTCCCGCTGAGCCTCCCCTGAAGCCTTACACTTTGAAAACCGCTGTCCTAAGGGAATGAGTGTAGATGCAATTGTCTCCCATGAAGTTATTAAGCTAATTCTCATGAAATAGGGCAAAGTTGTCTCTGTTTCCCTGTCTTACCATCTCCTCTGCCCGGTCTCCCTTGGCACTGATGTAGCTCAGCCGATAATGTCGAACATTCCTCGAGTCCACAGGCTGCCAGGCCACCCGCATACTGTACGTGGTTTCCTCATCGATCCTCATGTTCCGCACGCCGTAACGAGGAGCTGGAGGATCAGAGAGAGAGAAAACATCATTGCAGGGCAACATCGGCTCACCGAAGCACAAACCTGATCAAATTCAAATGTCATCATTTTGGCATTTCATTTACTCAGGTTTCATGTAAGCGTCTTTTTCGATATCAAAACTTTTCCCTGGCAAAGTCTGTGTGGGAAGAAATCTGACAGCCTTCATGAGGGATGATATGTGTAAAGAGGTGGGAATATGATTTAGACATGTCAGTGGAACAGTGCCAAATCAAAATGGAATTCAGATCATTATTAGATAAGTTCTACTTTATTATATCTCTGCTTGTTCAGGCACTTTACTTCAACTTTTTTTTTTATAAATGAGATGAAAACAGAGTCAAACATTGTAGTCCAAAATGTTAATGTAGTCCTAAAATATCAAACAGCTGTAAGGAAATATTTACTTGCTGTGGTGGTGGTCGTCGTGGCAATGGTGGTCAATATTTCAACTGAAAAGGAAACAAAAATATTTAATTAATGTGCGTGATTAAAAATGTAACAGGAGTTTACTTTAAAGGATCTTCTGGTGTTTTTACAGACATAAGACCAGAACATATATGATGAAAACAAAGTCTACTGAGATTGTGGCTTTAGAAATATAAATATCTGAGCACTTTTTACAAACATGAGGAGTGACATTTATATTTACCGGTGGACTCTACGAGGACCACCTCGTCACTCTCCACCTCGTTCTTATAGATCGCAGTAAGCAGGACTTCGTAGTCTGTGAGGGGGGTGAGTCCTTTTATCAGGTAGGTGTTCATTTTTCCGTCGATCAGAACCTGAAACAGAGAAATGTTTTGTGTTATATGAGCAGATGATTGGCTAATAAAGACTAAAACAGTGGGAGTACTCCCAACTGAATATGTTTTCAAATTATTCTAAACCTCAGAGTTAACTAGATGAAAATAATTAAGAAACTAACCTTTGAATCCATCACAGCAAGGAGCAGCTCATTTAAGTTATTGTAATATTGTGCAGCAAAACAATTGGTATATATTTAAAGTTACTGCATAAAGTAAAACAACAGCAGATAATGAGAGGCTAACACATGAAGAGACACATAGCACATTAGTGCGACAGGAATTACTTTCATCTTTGTGTGGTCACCTCCACTTCATTTTATATCTTAATTGGATGGTCTGATTCAATTTGATCAATGTGACTTGATATGGATCTCTGTTTTAATCAATAATAAGTAACAGAGACAAAAGACAGAAGCGGAACGCAGTAAATTAGTTGGGATTGTGATAGTTTGTAGGATTGATGTTGAGAATAAAGGAGAGGAAACAACAATGATACATAGCTGCAATCCTAATGATGACAGCGATGACGAAAAACGAATATCATATTGGGTGTATTAAGTCGAAGACAATGGTGCTCTACAACTCTCCTGGCTCTACTGCTTTGTGTCATTACCCCAGATGAAGGGGTTCAGGTGTTAAGTAGTAGAAATAATGCAGACATTGTAAAGAAAATGGATGCTGAAGGAGAAGCTCTCCATTTAGCAGACCACTTACACTTCAAACCTCATTTTAGGTCAAGCTGATTGGTACGGAGCAAAACAATGAGAACTTATATATAGAAGGATTTTATTTAGCTGAGTGTAGCCTTGTGGTTTTAGATATTCCTGCAGGGAAATTGGGGGGTGGGGTCGATGGTTAGATAAAACAAACACACACACACACACACACACACACACACACACACACACACACACACACACACACACACACACACACACACACACACACACACACACACACACACACCACACACACACACACACACACACACACACCACACACACACACACACACACACACACACACACACACACACACACACACACACACACACACACACACACACACACACACACACACACACACACACACACACACACACACACACACACACACACACACACCTCATCACTGTCTCCTCCATCTGTGGATGTCCAGGTGATTCGGTACAGCATGACATCAGAGGCCGGGTGTTTCCAAAACACCCTGAAGCTGTCCGTGGAGATGTCAGTGCTCTTCAGGTCTAGGGGGTCCGGGACGGTCTCTAAACAGAAATACACTTACATTTTTCGTATATAAACTAGAATGTTTATGTTGCTATACCTGACTTGTATTTAATAAAGTCTTTGAATTTTACATTATTTTAAGGGCCTAAAATGTCTGTATTCTGAAGACACTAAATGTATTTGGGCCGCAATAAACTCTTTAAAACTTGATTTTTCTTAATAATGCTACATTGAATACAACACATCTGTGTTATAATTGGAGCGCTGAGGAATTAGCTGTTAGCAGCACCTGAACGCAGCTTCAATGGGGTTGCATAATGATGCATTCATGCTCTTTTCAGTTAAAATTAATATAAGGTGAAGCTTAATTATAACATGGTCTGTTCAAATGTTGTTTTGCTAAATGCTGTTTTTATAAGGAAAGCTGAATAAATAAAGTTGTTTTCACAAAAATAGATATTATGGGGAGAATAATTACCTGTTTATTGTCAGTACAAAAACCAGGATGCAAGCATTACATAATTGTTTTACCGTGCTATGAAATTTGTAATACAAATTGTGGAAATTCACTGGTATTCGTATATATAACTTTATTTCTGGTCTCTCGACATCTCTATTTGTGAGCCAAATCACCTGTAAAATACTGATTTCTTTATTTCCTAATTATTTTCAACAATTTTAACAATACATTTGACTTGAGAACCTCATGAAAAAGTGAAACCATCAGATCAAATATATAGATATTAGTTCCTACTTGTGGTGAAGCTGTCAGTCACAGCCTCAGCTTGTCCCTCGTCGTAGATGGCAAAGACACCAACAGTGTACTCCGTCAGGGAGGTCAGGTTTCCTAGCAACCAGGTTGTCACACGGCCAACATCCACCTGTTGAAAAAGAACCAAAAACATTCAGCGAGCTGCACAACAACAGCTTCCTTCCTCTCTGTAACTGCTGTCAGTAATGAGAGGACGCTCTCACCTCAGTGGTCTGGGCTCCGGTGGTCTTGACGTACATGACGCGGTAACCATTGGCCTTCCTGGAGGCGGAGTCCCATGTGAGGCGCGCGGAGCGGTGGTCTACATCTGAGAAATGCAGGTTCCTTGCCGGGGTCAACGGTACTGATGGGGGAGGAGATGAGCTAGAGAGTTAATGTCAGGAAACACAGAATATCATGTCCAAAATAAACTGAATCATTATATCTTGATCTTAATTTTACTGCAGGAGATGTGGACATCCTGAAAGGTGGACCAGCTGCTCAGGAACAACACACAGACACAGCTTTTTTTAAACATAATTTGTTATGCAAAATTGGGGCCACACACACCTCATCGCTGTCTCCTTTATCTGTGGGTTTCCAGGTGATTCGGTACAGCATCACAAAGACTTGTAATTGTGACAAAGAATAATGGCCCTTAGAATAACCATGTTGTTCAAAGTTTCAGTTTCTATTAGCCATGTTGCCTGAGAAGGCATAATCTATCAGCTAATTTGTGATTTGATACATTTGACTTGTTCTGCAGCTTTTATTAATCAATTTAAATAAACGCAAGATGTACATTTACTCTGATTTTGTACGTTGTATGTATGCTGCAGTTTGAAGTCATATTACGCACTAACCATAAGTACTTTAACATGTTGATCTACAGTTGTGATTATTTCATCAGCAATTAGTCTTATTTTATTGGTTGTGTATATATTTTCACAATGCTTCAATAGAGAAATGCAAGTTATCTCCTGTCTAGGCCACGCATAATGAGGGCAGTAGAATATCAGAATGTTAAAGAATGAAACACCGTCTGCCAAAGAGCTGCTGTTACTAAGAGGTCAGAGGAGATCGGATATTGTAAGTGAATTCACTCTTACACACAGACACACATACTCATGGGGGCTTGAACAAGGGTCCGAAACTTTAATTATAAAGTGGGCAGACCCTCACTAAATCTCTACCTCTGGTTCTGCCTCAGCTTCCTCTCCCCCCTGCAGGCTGAGCAGAGGTCTTAAAAAACATATTACCCTCAGTTTTTTTGAATGTGTCGTACTCTCGGAAACTTTAAATTTACTTATTCACCTCAATTATACCGGGGGTCAGAATAAAGACAAAGCAGCAGAGGAAGAGAGAAGGGAGGGGGGGAGAGACTGCCTCTGCTTTACTGTAGGTCGTGCCAGGGTCAGCACAAGAATAAAGAGGCTGGGAAATTAAAAAGTTTAGAGATAGGTTAGTCTCCAAAGTTTCCAAATGTATGTGTCTGTAAAAAGAATATCCACCACATTACACTGCCCATTCACAGAGATGCAGGGTGACTTTGCAGAGCAGTGCTTGAAATGTCACAATTTGGCAAAATGATTAAAAGCTATTTGAATAAGAAATCGGAATACTATCTGGAGTGAAAGACTGTTTTCTTTATCACCATTTTCCATACTTTACTAAAAGTGTGGCTGAATAGAGTGGTGCAGTGATGAAAATATTTCGTACACCAACACTGAAGTTAGCATTGCATTGACTCCCTCATTGGATTGAAGATCATAGCCGAAAATAAGATCTTTGATCAAGAACTCGTTTATGATAGGTAGACATTTTGTTCAGCAGGCTAATATCCACATATTAACACTTTTTGACTTTTGAGCGTGAATGCAATCGCCAGAATAAAAAGCTAACGTTGGACTATAAACAGACTACATCATGGTCACATGGCATCACCACAGCTAAGCTAAAGGCGGCTAATGTTCGGAGTGACGACTTTTTGTAGTCTTACTTAAATCACTTGTTAGCAACCGCTGTTTTGATGACACAAAGAAGCTTTAGAAATCACCAGTGGGGTATTTACATACATACTTTATGTCTTAAATCTCTTAAGCTGTTGTTACCACAAACCTTATTTATGGCATCTAACGACAAACACTTCCCTAAAATCAAGTGAAAAGGGCTTGAAAAATTGTGATAAGATGGTAGGAAGTTTGTGGAAAGTCAATCTACACATTTCTTTAGTTGTCATATAACATTTTCAAACAACAACTCACATGAACCTGAGGTCAAACCAAGTAATGGACTGGGAATGATTTGATCATTAGACTGATGAAAATAAGAAATGAATTAACAATCTAACAGCCTGTGTTTTGTCATATAGTATGTTATTATGATCTGTTAACTGTTGATCCACTGTCAATGATTTTATCACTGAGTACAATCTCGATTTTATGTTTTTAACAGAAACTTGGATTGAACAAAATCACAGTGCAGCTGTTCTTATCGAATCAACCCCTCCCAACTTTAGTTTTATGAGTCAGGAAAGAATGCATAAGAAAGGAGGTGGAGTTGCTATTCTGTTCAATGATTCCCTTCAATGCAGGAAGACATCGTATGGAAACTTTGATTCTTTTGAATATGTGGCCCTTCAGCTGAAATGCTCCTCTCGAGCTCTGTTCCTAAATATCTATAGACCACCCAAATACTGTGCAAGCTTTTTTGATGACTTTACTGAACTGCTGTCTATAGTGTGTATTGACTTTGACCGTCTAGTCATTGTTGGTGATTTTAACATCCATGTTGACAACCCCCAGGACAGAGGGGCTAAAGAACTGTTTTGTGTTCTTGATAACTATGGACTGACTCAGCATGTGACGGAGCCAACGCACAATAAGGGGCACACTCTGGACTTAATTATCTCAAAGGGTGTGAATATATGTAAGGTTGTGGTGACTGATGTTGCACTCTCTGACCATTCCTGTGTTTTCTTTGAGAGCTCTATTTCTTTTCACAAAAATGTTCAAAAAGAGGTAACCACAAAGCGATATTTAACTGAAAATACTAGGGAAATGTTTACTCAGAATTTTTCTTCTACACTTGCCCCTGCTAACATCTCAGTAAATGAGCTAGTAGATCATTTTAATTCAAAAATTAAAAATGTTATAGATGCCATTGCTCCAACTAAGGTAAAGGAAGTGTCTGGCAAGAAAATATCTCCATGGAGAAAGGCCATGACCGTGAGAGCAGAAAAAAGAGAATGTCGAAAGCTGAACGCAGGTGGCGAAAAACAAAACTCCAGGTTCACTTTGAAATCTATAAAGAGAGACTTGGCCTTTATAATTTGGAATTGAAAAACACACGACAATCGTTCTTCTCTGACATCATTACCAAAAACAAAAACAACGCACGTGCCTTGTTTGCTACCGTCGACAGACTAACTAACCCCCCAGTGTCAGTAGCCTCTGAATTTCTATCCACCAGGGCGTGCAATGATTTTGCCTCCTTTTTCACTGACAAAATTCAGAAAATCAGACAAGCAGTCAGTGCCTCTGCATCAGGAACAGCAAATGTTTTGTCTCTGTGTCCACTTAACATCAATTCAAACACCATGACACAATTCCATCAGATTAATGATAAAAACCTAGAGGACATTATACAACTTCTGAAATCCTCCTCCTGCTGCCTTGATATTATTCCAACAGGATTTTTCAAAGATCTTTTGCCTTGCATGGCCTCAGATCTACTTCATATAGTAAACAAATCTCTTCACTCAGGTATTTTTCCACAGGCCCTGAAAACTGCAGTCATTAAACCGCTCTTAAAAAAGAATAATCTAGATGCTTCAGTAATGAACAATTACAGGCCCATATCAAACCTCCCATTTCTAGGTAAAATCATTGAAAAAGTTGTTTTTCAACAGTTTGAGTAATTTCTTGCATTTAAATAACTGTTTCGATGTGTTCCAGTCAGGCTTTCGTCCAAACCACAGCACTGAGACTGCTCTTGTAAAGGTCTTTAATGACATCCACTTAAACACAGACAGTGGCAGAACTTCAGTGTTAGTATTATTAGATCTCAGTGCTGCGTTTGACACTGTTGACCACAGCATATTACTAGACCGACTGGAAAACTGGGTGGGACTTTCAGAAACAGTTCTAAATTGGTTTGAATCCTACTTAAAGGACAGAAACAACTTTGTTTCTATAGGTAAATACACATCTGAGTTGACAAATATGACATGTGGGGTTCCTCAAGGCTCCATCTTGGGGCCTCTTCTCTTTAACATCTACATGCTACCACTGGCTCAGATAATGAAAAACAACAAAATAAGTTACCATAGCTATGAAGATGACACACACATTTACGTAACAATTTCACCAGGAGACTATGCTCCAATTCAAACACTGAGTAAGTGCATTGAACAAATCAATGACTGGATGTGTCAGAACTTTCTCCAATTAAACAAAGATAAAACTGAGGTAATGGTTTTTGGAGCCAAGTCAGAACGTATAAAAGTTAGCGCTGAGCTTCAGTGTGCAATGTTCAAAACAACAGATAAAGCCAGAAATCTAGGTGTAGTCATGGACTCTGACCTGAGTTTCAACAGTCACATTAAAACAGTTACTAAATCAGCCTACTATCACCTAAAGAATATATCTAGGATTAAAAGACTAATGTCACAGCAGGATTTGGAAAAACTTGTCCATGCTTTTATCTTCAGTAGACTCGACTACTGCAATGGTGTCTACTTTTAAATCCAGGCTGAAGACTTTTCTTTTTGTCGCTGCTTTTAATTGAACTATTCATATCTTAGACTGCACTGTAACTTTTATCCATGTACTTTTTCTTTTAATGTTTAGTTGAACAATTCATATCTTAAACTGCACTGTAACTTTTATCCATGTATTTTTTCTTTTAATGTTTATTTTATTAGCTTTTCTTTTTAATGACTGATTTTAAATGCCATTTTCTTAATCTCTTTCATTTTTTGTAAAGCACTTTGAATAGCCTTGTGTTGAAAAGTGCTATATAAATAAACTTGACTTGCCTTGCCTTGCCTTGCCTTGCCTTGCCTTGCCTCTCCTTGCCTTGCCTTGCCTTGCCTTGCCTCTCCTTGCCTTGCCTTGCCGACAACAGAGCCAAGTCTGATTTTGGAGAGTCTTCACCTTTAATCTCGATCACGCTGCTTTTTACTTTTATAAAAGGTCCCTTTTTCTGCAGCTGTGGTGACCTCTTTTCACTGTCATTAAAGCTCATTTTGTTACAACAATGCCAAGAAAGGTTACATATCTGGATGAGATGAGGGACTGATGAGGGGCGTTTAAAGGCAGAGAGAAGGTGTTTGGATTATTAAGAATAAACACTGAGTGAAAAGCACATTAAATCATCTCCCGCATGTCCAGATGCATCAGAGAACGTGAGACAGGAGAAGAAGTGTGTCCTCTGGCTGATGTATTGTATATTATAGAATATCCATTTCAATAATTGCAATAATACTGATGAAATAAAATCATGCATCCCATCTCCATTCCAGGCAAAATCACTGCAAAAACAGATCTGACTGTCAGGGGCAATTCATGGGGATATTTTTTGTCACTGATGGAATTAATAATTAAATATACATAAAGAGATATGAACCATTATCTGAATGCAACAAAATGATCTGGATGAAGGAATTTGAAAATGATTTGAGAGGGACCTCACCCCCCCAAAAAGCTACCACTGTCTCCTTCGAACAGCCGCCAGCATCTGACCTGCATCCAGAGCCTTACACGCATCACAAAGGACACAAACATGCCCTGTCTTAAAGCCGCAGGCCACAGATCTTAAAAAAAGCTTCATAAAACGTTAATTAGTGGGCATGGTGCGGGATGGGGGGAGGAGGCAAAGCTTCAAAATTCTTAAAAATGAAAGTGAGGTGCAAAAAATAGCACGAGGGGAAGCCGGTGCATGCAGGGATTTTGGCATCGGTCGTTGCCAGATTAAAAACGTGCCGGGACACGACTTAAACATGCCGTAGCTGTCCTGGAAGAAACACGTAACAGAGCAAACAAAAACAATATGCAGCAGCTGATCACAGAACCTGTGAGGGTGCTGATCCGAAAAATCCGATGCTTCCTCCTTAGTTCAAAGACACTCCTGATCTTTAGAAATAGCCAAAACTTCACCAACTGGTTTCTGAAAACAAGTGCACTCAATGTAAACTTCAGTGTGGTTTCCTTCCTGCAGTGCACCAGAGAGCTGAGAGTAAATCTATGCCGAGTTCAGAGGGTCATAACGTTGTCAGGAATTTAATGAAATGTAATGTATTCAACAGTCAATAAAGCTCTTTGATGTTTCTCAGTGTTATTCAAATTATTGTATGAGTGTGTGATTATATATTTGTGAGGGTCCATTTTTGGAGAGTGAGGAAATGTTTTCCGGATGTCCTAACTTCTTCAAAGGACTGGTTTAAACTTGGGTTGAGGTCGAATAGTCCAAAAATCAGCTCCTAAATTCTAACCCCATCTCCTATTCCTTGACCTCTGAGTGAAACGTCACGGGGTTAAGGGATAGTGGATAGGAGAATTCAAAAGGATTTAGGAGAAGAGACTGCGGTACTTTAGAGAATCCGACTGCACTTTCACTCTCCGACGTGTTTATGATGCTCCAGCAGACGTCATGAATGTGCGTCTGCTGCTGTGGGGAAACTATGGAAACTACAGTTTTCTATACAGCGGACTACAACATGGATGTTTAATAAGAACGAGGGACTACTGTAAACTCATCTAGAGACTCTGCACCGTGCTCTGATGCTGTTGCTTTATGCTTTATGAACGTGGTCAAATCCCGCCGCCGATGGGAATAAATTGCAATCAGTTGAAAGCTCTTTGCGTCCGTTTATGAAGCTGAAGGAGCCTCGGTGCGTCACAACTGCACGCCATGGACCCTGACCAAGCGTCACTCCTGGACGTTCAGGGAGTGAGAGTGTGTTGCTCCTGTAGTATATTCAGGTTTTAGTGCATGTAAATGGTCTGCAGAGGCTAAATTCCGTGTGTTCCCTCCAGAGGGAGTTTCTCTTGCTCACTGCAAAGTTTATTAGGATCGATATAACTTATATCAATCCAAACTTATGCTGAGCATGTTTGTGATAACCCTGTGTTGGGATGTATACATTTTTTGATTAATGTCACTATTTTAGACATTACTGATGATTTATTGTGTTTTACTCTTTAATTTAGGACAGGTGAACAGGTGGTCACTATTAGCAGAGGGACACATATTTTAAACAGTATGATACACAGCAGGAATTTTATAAAAAGTAAAACGTTGTATTATTTAAACGGATATAAACAGGTCACTGTTAATGTGGAAATGCTTGATGATCGCTCCCAACACTCTGTCACACAGCTGCTGCTAACAACCATCTGTAGCTTAAACTCTTATGGCTTAATTGTTAATTGAGGAAATTACTTAACAATGAATTAGAACATTTGAGTGAGAAATGACTCATCTTAGGGTAAAACAAATTCTGGCGAGGGATTTAGCTGTAAAGAAAATGTGAGTGGTGTGTGTGTGAGACACTCACATGTTGTCTGCTGGCTGGTCATGGGGTCGCTGGCCTCTTCTCCGTACAAGGCGTACACCGTCACAGTGTACTCTGTGGCAGGGGTCAGCTCTTCTAGCTCCACCTCGTTCACCTCAACCTTCACCTACACACACACACACACACACACACACACACATGAAGGTATGTGCCTTTAGCAGAAAGAGGGTGCATCATTTCCAGCAGACATTCTTATGTCATCTTTTCTTGTCTCAGATTTATCTGTCTGATAACCCATCATATTATCTACCACATATCTGCTGGTAATCCCTCCAATATCCCACAGTCCTGTCCAGACAAGCTGAGAACTCTGTGATAACAGGATTATTTCTGAATGTGGATGTTCTTTCACCTACTACTATTTTTAGAAGGTGGGACCAATCAAAGGTGGAGATAATAAACTCCAAGTGTAGTAAACCTTAATCCCATTTAAGGACTCCAACAGGCTGATCAGGACTCTGATGCAAAGCGGAACTACTATATATCAAGTACATCAATAATTAGTCACAACATATTTATTATTATTATTTTTTCAAATGATCGTTTTAATTCCGCTAATATTAAATAGTGTTCTCCTCAGTAGAAAAGGCTAACACTGCGGCGAAAGTAGCACTTTAAACACTGCCAGAGCCCCTTCCTGTTTCTCTTCTTCTGCTGTTCCTTTCAGTGTTTATTGTCTGTTTCTCTTCTTCTGCTGTTCCTTTCAGTGTTTATTTTCTGTTTCTCTTCTTCTGCTGTTCCCATTAGTGTTTACTTCCTGTCTGTCTTCTGTTGATTTCTCTTTTGTCCAGCTCTGTCATTTAGCCTCTTTTCTTCTCTTGTTCTCTTTGTATTTACTTTACTGTCCAGCGATCATGAATCAAAGCTGTTGTGCTCTCCACAAATATAAAAATGAATATTCAAAGAGTATTCACTTGAGTTTTCTGATGGATGAAAACGGGGAGTTACGTATTGTAACCCTAGTTATATAAGCACAGGCGGTGCCCTCTACTGGACTCTATGGGTACTACTCTACCATGCTATGCGAGCATTCACCTACTGAGTTGCATAAACGTAGCTGGCCAATCGGGGCGAGCCTACCTGAATGAGTGCGCAGGCCCACATTATATAAGGCGGTTACGCCTCCCGACTGCCATCCTACACCCTCTTCAGCAAGCGGCAAAAGAAAGACAGGACCCCCAGGTAGAGGACTCCGCCTGTGCTTATATAACTAGGGTTACAATATGTAACCCTAGTTATATATCACACAGGCTACGCCCTCTGCTGGACTCTATGGGTACAGTGGGTGCAGCCCCGATGTATAAACGCCCTGTCGTCCAACAACATCAACCCATCACACTGCCCCTGACCGGCCTTTGGTTAACAGCCACCGCACGCCAACTTCCTCTCATCTGGTTGTGACCGTGGAGAAGTCGGGGCCGGAGCTTGGATAGAGCACACTCACACGCTTACCTCGTGTAGAGTGTGCATGCACGACAGTATGTATGGGGCTTACTGCGCACCATGTTTCCCGGGTCCCTAAGGAGCATGGGAAAACACAAGTGCATTATGTCCAGGGGGGGGGGGGGGGGGGGGTCAGATACCTACTGCCCCACAGCCCCCCCCCCACCTCACTAGTCCTGTGTTGCCCCAGCAAGCACAGACGATGAAAAGGAGCCAGGCATGTCCAAAGATAAAACCTTATGAAGGGGCCTGGCGGTAGACCAAGACGCCGCCGTGCATATGCCCTCCACACTCACGCCGTTGAACAAAGCTGTTGATACAGCCATACCACGTGTAGAGTGTGCATGGACCCCAGTAGGGAAGGCTCTCCCCGCCTGTCCATAGGCATGTGAAATGCACTCGCAGAGCCATCCTGTCAGGCGTTTCTTGGACACAGCTTTACCGGCCACACCATCCCAAAAGCACACAAACAGCTGTTCAGTGCGCCTAATGGAAGCCGTGCGCCCTACATAACATGCCAGCGCACGCACCGGGCAGAGGAGGTGCAGTTTAGCCTTCCTGTCCCCAATATGGGGTGGAAGAATAAAGCAGTTTAACTGTATAGCCCTCGACCTGAAATAACTCCTTAGGTTATTGGGAACAAAGGAGGGGTTCGGTCTGCTACGGTCACCCCGGATCAAAGGGCAACTTGGGTGCACCGACAGAGCGGTCAGCTCGGACACTCCCCTGGCTGAAGTCAGGGCAAGCAGCAAAGCTGTTTTCAATGACAGTGTTTTCAGGGAGGAGAGCTCCAGAGGCTCAAATGGTTCTGTGACCAAAGCCTCGAGCACCAACGGCTATTCCCATTGTGGGGAGGAGGCCCGCACCACTGGCGCTGTCTCCTGACCCCCTGCAAAAAAACACGTCATAATCGGCTGACTGAAGGCTGACCTGCCGTCAAATCCCTCATGGCAGGACGAAATGGCTGCTTTATACACTATAATTGTGGAATGAACAAGCCGCCTGTCCACCAGTATCTGTAAATAGGACAGAATAGAGCCCAATGTACATGATAGAGGCTCTAGACTCCTTTCTTCACACCACCGCTGGAATCCCAACCACTTCGTCCTGTAACAGGCTGTGGTGGATCCTGCTCTTGCTGCCTGGATAGTCTGAATAACTTTGTCAGACAGTCCCTCCCGTCTCAGCCTGTCCCTCTCAGGAGCCATGTCTGCATGATGGTCAAAGCTGTCACCGTTGCCCCCTGTCACAGTCTGCAAACTGCCTGAAGCAGGGATGCCTGTCTGCTCTCTGACAGGGTGGCACGTAGTCTGCCTGCATCGAGCAAAATCTCCAGACACTCCACCTGCTGGTGAGGTATGGGACTGCTCTTCTTCCAATTGACCGCAATCCACTTGGATGAATTGGGCTGTGTTTGCCTCTCCTCTGGACCTGGCCATGACTATGAGGTCACATTAGAAAACCCTCATGCCATGGTCGCAAAGCGGCTGAAGCTCTGTGGTCACACATTTGCTGAACGTGCGTGGGGATAGGGAGTAGCCAAACGGTAGTCTGTACTCGTAGGCCACCCCCTGGAAGGCAAAACGCAAATACTTTCTGTGCTTTGGAGCAATTTTCGACGTGAAAGTAAGCGTCCTTCAGCATAGGCGGAGTTTGACATCTGCGCTTGGGGGGGGCAAACCTTTTTTACTGACGTCAGTACACAGTCCAAACTACTGTGTGGGGTGCTACGGATACAGTAGCAATAAAGCCAGCGTTCACCGCACAGAGTATGACTTTTCCACATACGAACACAACTCGTCCCGTCATGCACGCCTCATGCCCGCCATACAGACACACTCATATGGAAGGGGCGGTCTCTCCCCCCAACAACAGTGCATTACATCTGTAAAACGTATCATAACTGTGCACATCTTATACTTATTTGATAACTACTATATCCCTTGGTTACTTGAACACGCTACAATATTATGAACCAGTGTCCTACTTAGTGCCTTAAACGTTTTAAAAATCGCCGCATATATTACTGCTAATCATTGTAATACAATAGCTGAATCACTTGTATGCAAAAAAAAGCGAGGGAACTTGTGTCCTTAACCTCATACGTCACACACACACACGTCACAACATGTGACTGCTCAAAAATGAAATTATTTCAAACAAAACATGATATTATTCAGATTTGTATTGTAACAATCATTATATTACATCTATTAAAAATATTGACATACGAAATATTTGTATTGGAACAGCTTTAGACGTAGTAATGCTGTAACATATTTCAGCCACTAGGGGGGGTAATGCCCCCCCTGCCCACCCGCAAAATCCGCCTATGTCCTTCAGGTCGATGGTTGTGAACCATAGACTGTATATATAAATGGACGTAGTGTCCGTGACGTCACCCATAGGATTCTGCAGAGTTGCCGTGAAGCCCTTAGTAGGCGGAGTCGGCCACTAACGGCTCGACTGTGACGTCAGAGTCTAATCCCGCCTGCTCCAAATAAGGGCAAAGAGGCGGAGCCGAGGCGGGACCTGCTGCCTCCGAACTGGAAGTAAACAGAGCTAGCTCAGGCTAAGAAGCTAAGCTAACATGAAATACATGCATACCAAGTTACTGCTAACAGTGTAGTTCCTCTATATAAACGTTACATTCATAATCAAATGAGACAATCTGCAAGAGAATTAGCTATATTTTGTTATTCTTAATGCTTGTCATTCACACGTTGAGAAAAGACGGACTCCACCGCCCGGACCTAACGGAGCCGCAGTGGGCTAGCTCCGGGACGCCGGCTGGAGCTAGCCCCCTGCGGCTCCGTTAGCTCCGGCGGCCACCACTGGGATAATCGGGTCCCCTATTAACATTTGCTCCCGTTTAGCATTATGAGCGTCTAGCCATAGACTATAAAAGTCTTACCCAAGGCTGAATCAAAAACTAAAATGTATATGTATGCATAAAGGATTACGTCCTTAGCTGGCTAATAAGTAACAAGCTAAGCTACCAAGCACAGAAACACCTGCGAACGGGGTTAACATGTATAATATTATCATTTTAGACTTCTTGGAAGTTCTGTTAGTACATTCAAGCGCACAGCACGACATTTTAATTGTCTGGTATTTGTAACAATATTCCCTAAAAGGCACAATCACCACGAACACGGCGAAAGCTAAAGGGTCAAGTACAGTACTATGACTAACTAACATTGTAGCCTCTATGGTTGTAGCCTAGCAGAGTGGACAAGTTGCTGTTAGCTGACAGTGAGGCATGTACGTGTCCATCAAAGTGACCACGCCCTAATTTATGCAAAAACGTTAAGACCTAATATAAATAAAAGGGTCGTGTTTGAAAACAATTCACTCACAGATTCATAATCATGAAGGTGGAATCTAACTATATCGATAATAATATTTATTGCATCCATGGGTAGAAACATGTTTTTTTCTGCTGTAAAGTTGGGCATTTTAACATGGGGGTCAATGGAAATTGCTCCTTTCTGCAGCCAGTCCCTAGCGGCCCATGTATGAACTGCAGTGTGTGGCACTTCCGTATTGGCTTCCCGTCTCTACCCCACAGTTTGCCGCTTGTTGTGAACCAATCGCCCAGCTGCACAAGTTCCAATAATTGGTTTACATATGGAACTTTTCGCAGGCAATGTGCTGATTCAG